TGGGCAGAATGTGAGGTTGTGTTCGCAAAAGGCCCTATCCCGAGCTTCTTCCATTCAGGTCGAAATAACCAAACCCCAATCGCGGCATACTTAGTTTCCAAGGTTCGATCCTCAAACCTTGAAAACTAGGGGACTTCTGTTAGCCTGGGAAACAAGGGCTGACGTGGAAAGTCGTGGTGCAGTGTGACCTGCTCCCGTTAGAACGGTAGGTACACGTCAGGCCTGCCAAGCGCTATGGAGCTCCCACGCGTCCATTCCCTGCAATAAATCGCATGAAATCAGCTTGGGAAGGGGGCAATGGGACGTAAAGCGGATTATGTCTTGACATTCACACCAACCCATGGATTGAATGATATCACCCGCCCTCATCTGTTATAAAAGGGAGAAGACCCCTTCATTAAGGGGATTCGGCCATTTTTACACTTGAACTCTCTCTCTCTCTCTCTTGCAAACTTTGTATGTACTTTTCCTAATCATTTGTAAGTCAGTCCGTTGTTGCGACCTGACCCCATTACTAATACAAATCATGGACGTAGGACTTGCTACCTTAGCATCCGAACCACTTAAAAGCTTTTATTGCATTCATTTCACTTTTTCTATCCATAATCACGTGTGTCTCCTGACCAATCAACGTTACACACGTGTCGATTAGTTGGTGTAAGAATCACGCATCAACAAATTTGTATCATTAGACAATTGGATTCCATTACACAGGACAATGGACAAACCGTTAAGCAAAGTATCAAGTTTTTTTGATACAATATGTCAATCATAATAAATATGATTAAATCCACAATCAACTGGTAAATTTTGTTTGAATCACTTGGAAGAGTATTACTTTTGTACCTTCAAGTTGCATGCGGTTAAATTTCCATACTTGGTATCGTCCACAATTAGTAAGGCCCTCTGCAACTCTGAAATCCTATAACCACCATTTGTTTCCACATAAAAAACATTTATTTCAAGAGTACATGTATCCCATATTGTTTAACATTTATGAAAGCTTCCACAAAAGGAAAACCTTTGACTAAAAATTAACTAATCTCCTCACCGAAAAAAAAAAAAAAAAAAGAAATCCTGACAATGTAATCAAGAAAGAATCGTGAAATCGCTCCCTTTTTTAAGTCTATACTTCTTTTAAATCTTTCATACATTAATAACATTTTAGTTCAAATTGACAAAGTAAAAACGAAAATTTACCGTAGTGCCCACAAGTATGATCTTGGCTCCATTGTTGATCTCAGATTCTCTCAAAGACTTCTCGTTCTCCAAAAGTCGGCCTTTCAACACAAAAAACATTACAAAAAGGTGATCACCAAGAATTCAAGATTCAATTTTGATATTTCAACGAAATGGAACCTTTAAAGATGAGTTTCTGGTCACGAGGGAGGACATTAGTGAGAGGTACAAGAATGCTCTTCAAGCGTTGAACTGTTGAGTCATGCGATGTAGTTATTGGTATCGATTCTGTAATGAACTTCACTGTGATGTTAATGTTGTTTTCTTCCATCTTGCTCTCTGTTTCGTCCGTGAAAAGCTTTTCGATTGCTTCTGTTGCAAACCTATTCTTGTTGTGTGTATTAGAAAGAAAATTCAGGCGCTAAACAATTTACTAGTTTTTTTGCCGTGAGTGTTCACTGGGAGTAACTGTAGTTTTATACAAAATTTGGCGGTGTTAATTAACACTAGATTTTTGGGTTATTTCCGTTAGGCTGAGATATCTTTGTTTCTTCCGAATATGTATTTTAGAAATAATAATATGTCCTGTCCTGTTACAGTTTGCTGAAATAACAGAAATCCGAAGCAAATTTATCCGGAAATTTAAGATTTTACCCCATATCTTACTTCTATGTGATGTAGTTGTTCAAAAGGAGTTTACCCCCCTGGTAGTAATTCAACAGGTTTCATTACTTCCAACAGAATGTTCAAGGGAGAATATCCTATATAAATCTAAAATCAGCCATCTGGCTATGACTATTCACATAGCAGTGAAGTTGGGTCAAATATTATGTTCTTTGTTCTAAATGGAAAAGCCGGGTTTTCATCAGCAACTTTGCACAACTGCCATCTGTAACCAAAAACTGTTCAACTCAATTTTTATCAGCACCTTCATCAAATTCAGCAGAATTCATAAATCTGAAATCTATTTGCTTCTGATGCTTTGCACTACGGCGTTCATCAAAATCTTCCCATCCTTCGCACTGTTGTCAGAAGAAAACTTTTTTATCCGTTGCAGTAAAGGGAGAGTGAATTGGGCCACTTGATAAGTCTAATACCTGGCGGAGGGTATCTATAGTGATTTCTGTATTATGAAGATCCAACGTTGAGAGCTGGGCACACATCCTGAAAAACGAATTTGGGAGGCTTTTCATAGCATTGTTACTGAGATACAATGCCTGTATCCAATATCAATAATTAGCCACAGTTCTTGATGGCCAATCTCATGCTCCCTCAAGAACATACAGCTAGTGCACAAGAATTGGGGAACCTCTTGTTGCAAGAATTTGACTGTCCTCCAATAATAATGTCTTTAAGTTCAATTTGAACTTCTGAAAAATTGACCAAGATGAGGCGGGAATTCATTTACGAACTACCTGGAACTTTGATATAGCAATCAGATGAAAGAGAGTTGAAAGAAACTAATATGTAACTAAGAAGAAAGTAGGGACCTTCAAGTTATGCAAACTGCAGACTTCATCTGGCAACTCAGACAGAAGATTTGATGAAATATCTACCTGCACCATGTGAAGATCAAGTCAAGTTAAATATCAAATTCATCATCTCTTGTTCCAGCATATATTTACCGCTACCTTGCATATTCCTTTTGGGAATTCTTTATAATTTTAATTTGTTAATCTAAACTCAACATTTTTGTGAATGTGCAGGATGATGACACGAATTATCACATGGATATGATAGCTGGGCTGGCTAACATGAGAGCAAGAAACTATAGCATTTCTGAGGTTGACAAGCTAAAAGCCAAGTTCATTGCTGGAAGAATCATTCCTGCTATTCCAACCTCCACAGCAATGGCGACAGGTCTTGTGTGCCTGGAGCTATACAAGGCTCTGGATGGAGGGCACAAAGTTGAAGACTATGCGCAACAAATTTGCTAACCTAGCATTGCCTCTGTTTTCCATGGCTGAGCCTGTCCCACCCAAGGTCATGAAACACCGTGATATGAGCTGGACTCTTTGGGGTAGATGGATCCTGAAAGACAATCCCACCCTCAGGGACCTTATCCAATGGCTCAAGCAGAAAGGGCTGAATGCTTACAGCATCTCATGTGGAAGTTGCTTACTCTTTAAAATTATGTTCCCCCGGCACAGAGAACGGATGGACATGAAAGTGGTTGATCTGGCAAAAGAAAGTGGCAACAGTAGAATTGCCTCCATACCGTCGCCACTTAGATGTTGTTGTGGCATGTGAGTATGATGAGGATAATAATGATATCGATATTCCTCTGGTATCGTTTACTTCCAATTAAAACGTTGTTTTCCCGGTCCACCGCACCAGTCAAAACTGTGATTTTATAATGAGAACCCTATTGTTCACAGTAGTATCTTTGGTTCTGTTTCATATCGAAGAGTACACAAAACAAAACCCGAAAGCAACTTTGGTTGTTGTTATATATTGCGATATATGCTTTTATCTGCTGCTTGTGTTGTTGCTGGTTGTGTTCAATGAGAGCAACTATAGTTTTACACATAACTATGCCTATGTTAATTAGCATTACATTAATGGTTTACTTTCTATAGGTTGAGATATCTTTGTTTCTTTCGTTTCTTTCAAAAATATACGTATTTTTGGAAATATTATTATCTTGATATATAATAATAAGATGATGGGTAAATAATATGGGATATTAAAAGAAGTATGAAAGTAAGATAATATATAAATATGGGCTGCTAAATGAGAATTGTGATGTTAGTTAAGGAGAATTGCAAGAACCGAGGCCAATTTTTCATGTATATATATCCCTTAATAAAGCATTTATAAGGGGCCTTTATTGGCTGCAAACCGCCTCAAAGAGGCAATTAGAAACCATTGGATCTTATATATGAACATATGTGGGTGCGTTTGGTTTAGTATTTTGGATAGGATTTTAAGGGTAGTATTGGGTTATTGGATATGGGAGTATTACGAGGTAAATTTTAAAAATTTATAAAAAAGCCCTTAGGTTTACTAATTTAACTAAAGACCCTAACATGTAAAATGACAAAAACACCCCCACCACTGCAGTGTCAGATTCCGGCCACCACCGCCGGAATCTGACCGGAAAATTTCGTTACGGCACAGACTTGTCGGATCTGTGCCGTAACACATCGTTATGGCCTTTTCCGGCTAGATCCATGGTAGATCTGGCCGGAAAAGGCCAGATCTATGGTTTGTTTTGGCCGTCGACGGCCGGAAAAGGCCAAACGACGGCCATCTTTGGCCGTCAGCGACGGCCAAAGATGTGGCCGTCGTTTTCGATCGACGACGGCCAAGATTTGGCCGTCGTTGACCGTCAACGACGGCCATTTCTTTGGCCGTCGCTGACGGCCAGATCTGGCCTTTTCCGGCCAGATCCGTTGTGGATCTGGTCGGAAAAGGCCACAGCGGTGAACTTCCGGCCATTTCTGGTCGGAAGTTTGGCCGTTGTACAGATTCCGGCTATCACCGACGGTGGTTGCCGGAATCTGACAAGTTGGGTTGATGGGGGTGTTTTTGTTAATTTTAAACTTTTTTTTCAGGGGGTATTTAGTGAAATTAATAACCTTATGGGGTTAAAATGTAATTAAAAAAAATAGGGTAATATTTTGAGAATATTGTACCAAACGCGATTTGAAAAATAGGATCCAGAATAGGGATAAAAATATTAAACCAAACGCATACTGTATTTTTGCAATGACCTCTCCTGATGAGTCAGGAGCAAATTTATTTAGAAATTTTAAGATTTTACCCCGCATCCTACTCCCTATGCAATGTAGATTATCAAACCGAAAGTACCATGGTAGTAAAATCAACAGGTTTCCATTACTTCCAAAAAAGTTCTCATGGGATAATCCTATACAAAGCTAAAATAAGCCATCCTGTTATAAATATTCACATAACAGTAAAGTTGAATCAAATATTATGTTCCTTTTATCAAAATGGAAAAGCAAGATTTTCAGCAGTAACTTGCACAATTGCCATCGGTAACCATAAACTAATCAACTCAATTTTTATCAGCACCTTCATCAAATTCGGCAGAATTCATAACTCTGAAATCTATTTGCTTCTGATGCTTTGCACGACGGCGCTCGTCAAAATCTTCCCATCCTTCACACTGTTGTCAGAAGAATACTTTATTATCAGTCGCAGTAAAAGGGGAATGAATTGGGCCACTTGATAACTGTAATAAGAAAAATAAAAAACCTGGCGGAGGGTATCCATAGTGATTTCTGTATTATGAAGATCCAACGTTGAGAGCTGGGTGCACATTCTGAATAACGAATTTGGAAGGCTTGTCATAGCATTGTTACTGAGATGCAATGCCTGAGAAATTGTATAAATTCAAGATCAATAGTTAGAGACCGTTTGCTCCTAAGGGCCTGTCTCATGCCCCCTGAAGAATATACAGCGAGTGCACAACAATTGGTCAACCTCTTGATGGAAGAATTTGACTGTCCTCCAACAAGAATATTTTAATTTGTGAAAAATTGACCAAGAATGAGGCGAGAATTTATTTGTTACAAACTATCTAGAACCTTGTTATAGCAATCAGATGAAAGAGAGTAGAAAGCAACTAATTCTACTAAGAAGAAAGTAGGGACCTTCAAGTTATGCAAACTGCAAAATCCCTCTGGCAACTCCGACAGATGATTTGATGAAAGATCTACCTGCATCAGGTGAAGATCAAGTCAAGAAAAATATCAAATTCTTATTATATGGAGCAGAAATCATCCTTCTAGATTGCAGCACAACAGCCAAGTAACTTAGGTTGCATTATAAAGATTTAAAAAAAAAAAAAAAAAAAAAACATATCAAGAATTCTACCTCAATAAGAGAAGTACAGTTGCCTATATTTGAAGGAATGGAGCTTATCCTGAGCCAGAGGAACAAGCCAATCAAGAATCATAATTATGTATAACATAGACAAAAAGAAGCTTGCATAGGGCGGTCCTATTCTGTTTGCGCTCTAAACCCAACAAAAGAATTCCTACACAACAATTCCATCAATTTATCTATACATTACCTATTATTGTTGACTTTCAAAACTTCAAGCTCAGTCAGATTTCCTATTTCAATTGGGAGGGCAGTTAACTTGTTGTTCGCAACATGTAGCTGCTGCAGAGAAGTCAAAAGACCCAGTGTGGAAGGCACAGTGTTCAAACTGCAGAAAAGATGTAATTTGTGATAGTTAATGCGGAACAACATTATGCACACATAGACAGAGAAGCTACAGTTCCAGGCGTATAATACCTTAGGGATAAAAAAAGTATCCCACATTTCACACCTCACAAGCATGCCTTTCAAGAACAATGGTTAAAGAACTATACAGAATTAGTATGAACTTATAAGAAATAAAGTAAAATACCAAATAGAGAATCATGTTTTTGCAAAATCTTAACAATTATATACATGTATAATAAATTCATTGTAAAAATTGGAATTAGCCCATATGGAAGAGAGGCCAATAACATTTTGCATCTTTGGGAGGGTGTAGAGACTTCACATTAGGTCCCAAGTTTAATCGTTAAATTTCTCCCTCTGGTACTCCGTCCTTTACTTTTCTTTTGGTTCTTTAAGGGAAGCGTCAAAAAATAAACCAGAACTCCATAAAAGCTCCTTGTCATATTGGAGCAGCAGAGGGATAACCAAACCACAACTACAAACAACTTTTCCCACTTCTAGTTTAAAGAAGACCAATTTGACATGAATGTCATGTTTTTGTGTCATAAGAAACTAATTATAGATTCAAAATAAAAAGGCTTTACAGAAAGGTAAAAATGCTGTCTGCTGGTACACAATACAAAAAATAGGAATTGACAGCTCAAAAGATACATATCTATGTGTTTTACAAGGGAAAGCAGAAACCAAAATTATACTACACACATTATACATAAATGAATATCAAAAACTAACCAGTTTTGGCTTAAAGATAGAACTTGTAGAAGCTTCAGACTTGTGAGTCCTTGCCAGTTAATGGATTCATCCGACAAACCATTTCCATCAAGAGACAATTTCTACCAAAGAATTGAGATTGAAGGATTTACATTCATCATCTTTTAGAGGGAGGCCATTCAAATGGCTGAAGTAAAAACACCAAAGTTTGGTATAGAATGGTTTTCATACCCTCAATCCAGTAAGACAATCAATCCGGTCAGGTACATATTGAATGAAATTGTGGCTGATATCAAGGATTCTTATAAAAGGTGCACAAGGCCAAACTTCATCAGGAATGTCCTATCAAGATACAATAAAGTTATCAAACATATACCTTGTGAATACATCTAAAAGAAGAAACTTGAAAAACTCTTTGCTTTTTTATGTTTATTTCTGATAATAATGAAGTTCTACACCTCTCATTTCAATTTGTTTTCTTCTACATATTAGGCAACACAGAACTCTTAGCTCCTCAAAAGTATATAAATTGACACACTGAATCCACCAACCTCAAAATCTTCATCAATAATAATCTATATTCTCCATTTAAAGAAAAATAACTCTGCAACAAATTACTTCTGTTAATGCTATTCATATCAAAGGGCAAAACAACACTCACATTACAGTGAAAAGCAGCTCCTTTAGTTTTTCAAATATCTGCAGACAGGTCTTATAAAATTCACATTCAATTGATGAACATGTATGACATTCAGAGACCTGACTAATTTGTATCACTAGACAATTGGATTCCATTACACAGGACAATGAGACAAATCGTTAAGCAAAGTATCAAGTTTTTTTGATATAATATCTCAATCACCATAAGAAATGATAGGATCCACAATCAACTTAGGTAAAATTTGTTTGAAATCACTCAGAAGAGATATTACTTTTATACCTTCAAGTTGCATTCGGCCAATGCTACAATATTGGTAGCCTTCCACCGTTCAGTACGGCTCTTATCAGCTTTGAATTCCTTCTTCTCATTCACTACATTAGTCTTCCTTGAAATAATTCGGCTTGGAGCCTCTCCCATCTTTGGACCATCCTGTTCATATAAATTCCTCAGTTAAATAAATTAAAGACATATAAATCCTATAACCACCCTGTTTTTCCACAAAAAAACATTTCTATTCAAGATTACATGTATTCCATGTTGTTTAACAACAATAAAATTTGTCAAAGCTTCTAACTGTTACATCACCTTCCACAAAAATAAAAACCTTTGACTGAAAATTAGCTAGTCTTTTCACTGGGAAAAAATAATAATCTTAAACGATATAATCATGGAAGAAGCTGAAATTGCTCCCTTTTCCAATTTTATACATCTACATTTTTCTGAAGAACTTATTGAAGTATGTAAACCTTCATACATTAATATCAATACTAAAATTTATTGAAAAAATAAAAATGAAAAATTTACCCCTTGGTGCAAACCCTTAGATCCCACAAGCATGATCCTGGCTCCATTGACGATCCCAGACTCTCTCAAAGACTTATCATTCTCCAAAATTCGGCCTTTCAACACAAAAACAAGACAAAAAGGTCATCACCAAGAAGTCAAGGTTCAATTTTGAAACATGGGTTTTGATATTTCAATGAATTGGAACCTTTAAAGATGAGCGTTTGGCCACGAGGGAGGATACTAGTGAGAGGTAGAAGAAGCGTCTTCAAGGATTGAACTGTTGAGTCATGTGATACAGTTATTGGCATCGATCGTGTGGTGAACTTTACTGTGATCTTAATGTTGCTTTCATCCATCTTGCTCTCCGTTCCGTCCACGACTTCTTGTGTGTTTTAGAAAGCCGATTCACATGGTAAGGTCGTGTTTGGTAGGGTATTTGGAATAGTGCCTTTTTTTTTTTTTTTTAAAGTTGAATTGAGTTGTTACGAGGATGATATGATTTTAAAATTGTGTTTGGTAAACTTTCGGAAAATATTTTCTGGAAATATTGAGTATATTTTAATCCCCAATATTTATTAATTTAGCTAAACATCCCTTATAATAAAAGTTTTAAAATTAATAAAAATATCCTCACTCACCCATTAAATGCTAACAGTAGGCCACTACCATCAGACGATGGCCAAAAATCTTCGGAATGGAGCACGCTCAGCTAGACGTGGTCGGTAGTGTGTTAATCTAGCTTTTTCAACTAGATCCATGGTGAATCTGGCTAAAAAATACTAGATCGATGCATGACCGGCCACATCCAGCCAGTCGTAAGCCATTCTGGCAGATTCCGACACCTTCTAACAGTGGTGGCTAGTTGTCGGCATTATATGGGTCGGTGGGGTGTTTTTGTCGGTGGTGAATCTGGCTGAAAAAGGTCAGATCGGTGCACCACGGGCCACATCCAGCTGGTCATGAGCCATTTCGGCAAATTCCAACCCCTTTCTAATAGTGGTGGCCGGCTGTCGGCATTGTGTGGGTCGGTGGGGTGTTTTTGTTAATTTATAAACTTTTACTGTTGGGGGTGTTTAGTCAACTTAACAAACCTAAGGGTTTAAAAAAATCTAAATATTTTGAATTGAATTGAATAAGATTGGATTTTGAAAATATTAAAACAAATACATATGTATTTTGGATATGATTGGATAGAAGTAAAATCTAACATGTATTAAATAATTAACCCCAATAATGTTTTGCTCACGACTGAATCATATAACTATTTTATCCTTTTTTTTTTTTAATCTGATTGTATGACCCATTATATTAGAAATATAATTTCTCTTGTTATTTCATCACATTTTTCAAATCAATCATAACAACTTAGTTATGATTTGACAATGACTATTATATATATTACTCAATAAATCTTAAGTTTGATTCATTCTTTCATTGTTAATATGGTAGCCATTGAAGCTATTGTATGATCCATAGATTTAAAGTCATGAGAAATTAGTTGAAATGTGCATAAGCTAACCCGACGACCCAATCATAGTTACCATTATTTAGTTGTTGATTAGTAATCCAAATATAGATGGATGGCTGGCTGCTAAGTCAAAGATGATAATTTCAGATCTTGAACACACGGATAGACTTGTTATGGTCAAGCTTAGAAGTCCAAGAAATCACAAAAATGGTATTTCATGTGAACATGATGAAGATGAAGTTGGGATTTCTTAGGTTCAATCAGCATGTGGGTTGTGGGAGTTTTACTTTGCTCTTCACTTTTCTTCTCTGCAACCATGTGACACTTTTCAGAACCCACTCACAAAACCACATCATGGACTTTTTAACTTTAATCTTTAGCTTTTTGGTAATCCAATTGATTCTGTATTTCCATTCACGCCTTGTCTCTGCTACAGTATAATTATAACTGTGTATGGTCTCATCTCATCTCATCTCATGACGACAGCAGCTCACTTGTTAGAATGAATTTAGATCACCCTTTCATTTCATTACTCCATAACCCATAACTATTATTCCTTGAAACTTACCAGGCAAAAGGGTTGTTGGTATTGTTGACAATAGCAGGAGGAGCTAAGAATGTAAGCAAAAGTTTTTCGATGTGCCCATTAATGGGAATAACTGGAAACTTCAAACAATTATTAGCAGAACTTAAATGAATTTTATTTCTATCTGCTAAATTTCTTTAAAAGAGTGAAGTGAGAGAATAGAGATATAACTACCACCAAATAGTTTGATAGTTCGTTTGAGACTCTTAGATTTATTATTCAAAAAGTTCTAAGTTCGAATCCTCACAACTACTAATAAAGAATAACCATTGAAAGTTTACCTAACCGTTAACTTCAAAACCCTAAAAGATTAATTGAGGGTAACGCGAAGATTTATTAGACTGATGTTTTTGACGATGTCTCCACTGCAAGGAAAAAAGAAAAAAACATCTTTAAATAGGCCTTATATAAGGTATGGGTATCCACTGATAATCAGGACCTCCCATCTAAAATTAGGCTAAAAATATACCATCTCCAGATCACAACCTCTCATCCCTCTCTTAAACCCCATTAAAACAAAACACCGAAAACTAAAACAAACCCTTTTCTCATATTAACCTCAACTACCTTAACCAACCCAACACCCACCATTTTAAGTTTTCAGTTTTAACCCATCTCTTCTCTTTCAGACCCCCAACCAAATACAAAACAAAACAAACCCAGATTTCATACACCCTCCAAAAACGCACCGCTTTATACCCATCTCCTTCTCCGAGATTTCATTTTTTTTTTTTCATCTCCATCGAACTTTCCCCTTCGATTGTTCACAAACCCCAGTTCTCAATGTGGCGGCCGTGGACTAAAACGCCGAGCAAAATCCACGACACGTCATCACAATTCTCATGCTCCTCCTTCAAAGACATTCAAAACCTCTGCACAGAAGATCCCGTCCCAACCGCCAACATCCTCACCAAAAAACCCTCCATTTTCCACCGTGTTCGCCTCGCCAACTCTATCATCCGCGCCTTGGCCCCTCGCCCACAACCCGACACCTCATCCTTGGACGCTAACAAAAATTTACCTCAACCTCAAGATTTAGAACCCTTACAACCACCGAAAATCTCAATCCCCGGAGCAGAGAAGCGTATTGTGGTTTACCTCACGAGCCTACGTGTCGTCCGTTCGACTTTCGAAGATTGTAAGTCCGTCCGATCCATTCTCGGGGGGTTTCGTGTACAAGTCGATGAACGAGATCTGTCCATGGACTCAAGTTTCGTAAACGAGTTACAGGCGATTCTGGGCGTTAGTCAAGGTAAGTTGACTTTGCCGAGGGTGTTTATCGGCGGTAGGTACATTGGTGGGGCCGAGGAAACACGGCAACTTCACGAGACGGGTGAGCTTAAGATGTTTGTTGAAGGGCTTCCCACAGCTGATATTGGAGCGTGTGACGTGTGCGGCGGTTACAGCTTCCTTCTGTGCAACGACTGTGACGGTAGCCACAAGATGTACACGGAGAAAGCTGGCGGGTTCAAGTCTTGTACTGTTTGTAATGAGAACGGACTCATCAGGTGCCCATCTTGTTCTTTTCCGCCATTTTCAACCGTCTGATTTTTAGGCTTGAGATGATAAAAAAACCATATAAAAAATTAAAAAAAAAAAAATTCGGGTTTTTTTTCTTTTATTTTTTGGATAAATTAGTTTTTGTTAATTGGGTTAAGTGGGGGCCCACAGATGGTGAGACATGACACGGGCACCGTTGGATTTGTCTTTAAGATTTGTATTAGCCTCTACTGAGTCTTGTTAGTATTAGTGTCTTTTTCAATCTTGTACTGACATGGAAGGTGGACTCTCTCTCTCTCTCTATATATATAATCTTGAGTGTTTAGAGTAATGTTTATGACATTATGAACCTTAATGTATATTATAAAAGTATTAGCTTTTTTCATTCAACTTTGGGGTTCCAATAAAGAGATGGTGTAGGTTGTTTTATTTTATTTTTGATATTCAGGAGTGTTCGGGTCAACTTGCACGCACCTTAATTAGTCCTTTGAAGTCTTGAAGTTAGAAGTAAGATAAACCACAAATGATTATCCCTTATTAGTAGTTGTGGGGATCCGAACTCAAGATCTCTTGAGTAATACACCCAAAAGTATTAAGCGAATCGTTAAACTATCTAGAGGTAGTTGTTTGATTGTTTGTGCAACTGGCTTTCAACTCAATGCGTTCAACTATTTTACCTTCTTCTTCCATGTGAAAATTATGCAGAAATCTCTGGAATCCAATCCAGTCAGAGAATGTGTTTAAAATGTTCTCTTTTATAGTATTGATAGAGTGGTGTGGTCTTTATATTTTGGGAGAGTCAAAGACAGACTGTAAAAAAAGTGCAAATATTTGACACCAATGCCACTTTGTTGCTGGCTGCATAATTGCCTCATCAGCCATCCCAATTCAGGTTCTAACTACAATCCCTTTTCGCATTGACACTGGTTTTCGCCATTGGAAGGAAAAATTGCTTAGGCTTTTACTATCAGAGAGCAACAAATGTGCCTAAAATAGCTGAGCTTTTCTAAGGAAGATAGTTTAAGATGAGAAGCTTTTGGGTGAGATGGAGCTATCACATTAATAATATTACATCACTTGGAACACTTTCTCTTTCCTTCACCCAACTACCATAATGACTCCTTAATTTTGAACTAAATAAATTAATTACAGAAGCTTATGACATGGTAGGTTTATGCCCTCTTTTTTTTTTTTTGGATAACTGGGATATTTGGGTTAGTTTATACGCACTTCGTCTAATCCTTGAAGTTAATTGAACATCTTCTAAGTCCAATAGATTAGATAAATCACAAATGTGATAGCTGGTCATTTTGGAGGATTCAAACACAAAATATCTGGGTCTTAGATGGCTAAAGTCTTGCCATCTGGCATGGTTTTATACAGTTTTTTCAGCCTCTTCATCAATGGTAATGTAAGCTAGCAAAAGATTATCGTAGAAAGTCCCAGTATCTATGGTCTTTTTGCTATGCTCAGAACGTTGATATCTCACTATTTCTTTTTTTTTTTTTTTAAAGGTTTATAATAATAGACAGTGACAGGGGAATGCAGAATTGCAGATATCATGTGAAAGCAATTATTGCTATTTGCTAGGCCAAAATCAAAATGCCATAAACACTTCAGAAGGGCTGATCCCAATTAATGGCGTCCAGTTCAGAAAAGAATCTCAAAAAGCCAGTTTACTTGACTTTCTGATGATCCCATGATGAATATTATTATCCAGAATTACAGCTATTTCATTGACAATGTGACACATATTAAAAAATGGGCTTAACTAGGTGTGAACCATTTATTAATCTACAAATCATATGCCAACACAAACATATAAAATAATGACAATATAACTGGAGATTAGAGTTTCAATCAATGGGAATATATGCTTATATTTCTTAACAACTAAAATCTACCCACGTTTCAATCTGCAGAACTGATTTATTATGAGCCATATGATAAGATGATAGATTTCATCTGCTACCTGGAAGTTTCCCAAAGGAAACATTCAGTTCTTCAGCTGCTTCACTGCTAATTGGACCTGGAAAGTTATTATTCTCTTGGTTTCGGGTGATGCCCAGAATTTTACTGCTTAACAGAATTTCGAGGTGTATAGTCTCATCACTGTAATTCTCATAGTTGTATTTCTTTCATTGGCAGATGCACCAAACTTGCGATCAAACTTCCACTATTACAGGTCAAATAATACTTGCAAAAGAGAAAATCCAAATTTCCGGCTTTTCCAGAACAGGAAACAACCAGAGAAGTCATGCATTAAATTAAACTAAAGAAATTCTGAAAGATCACACTTAATCAGCCACATGTCGATCTTCAAATATAAAATATTAATGACGATTATTGCTGGTCCATCGATAGCTTGACACATAGTCAAAATAATGTATTAATAAACTATTGCTCATACAGCAAGAATCGTATTTACCAAAATCATTAGGAAACAGAGTTTCAATCAACAGGAAGATGTGTCTCCAACTCTCCATACTTCAACTACTATAAGTGGACATGTGGCAATCCATAGAAGTGGAATTCTGTGAAGAAATTTGGGATTTTATGCAGCTGCGTTTACCCTTGTGGCCTCGTAGATTAAGCTTAATCTTAACAACGTCTCTTGAAGAAGCATATTCTGCTTTTAGATACTATTCTTATCTTCATTACGATTTATCTGTTGTTTTAAATATGGCAATTAGATCAAGCTCACAAGGAAATTAAGAATTTGTTGTTGTGATTTCTCGCACCAACGAAAAGTACATAAGCCTTCGAGTAAGTTCACGTAAAGGGTTTGTATAATACTGAGAAATATAATGTTGAAATGATGAGAAATAATAACAATAATGCGTGAAAACAAATAAAAATAGTAGATAATAGGAATTTTTGAAGTAATTCAAATGCAAGGTACAAATCTTACATCTTGTGTTATCTTATTGACGTGTTTACAAAAGTTATTTGCTCTTAAGTAAGGCTATTGCTCTTAGCTATAGAGAGAAAATGAAATTCTTCATCCTTGATTTGGGGTAGGAGACCCCTATTTATACTGTTGCATGGGTTGTCTTGCTCATGAAACAACCCTCTCATTGCATGACATGTGACCTAACAAACCACCCTTATTTGAGATATAATAGTGAAGTAGTTCTCTCGTGGGGTGACAGGCGACCTGGATGACAGCTCAGTCCTGAACCTTACTATAGAAGCAACCTACGGCAGCCTTACAAATGAAATAACCCCTTCTAGGTGTGACACGCGATCTAGACAGGTGCATAGTCATAAGTCACGTGGCAAAAGCTCATGCTTCCGTTGCTTAGTCATAGGACATGTGTCGAGAATTCATGTCGTACAAATTTACAGTATAACAGAATCAAACAAGGATTAGTTTTTGATAAAGTTCTGAATCTTATGATTCATTCTCCTTTTAAGTTATTAAAAGCTATATCTTAATATAGAAATTTTGATTAAATGATGATTACCCAGATAGTACCTTTAACCATCATCATTATCATATTTTATTATTTGTATTTTGACAGATGGGTTCGGTTAGGTGAGGGGAGATTACCAGCCGCAATCAATAATCTTTGGTAAGAAATTTTGATACGCATTATTGAAAGAACCCTTTATTTTAATCCCCTTTTTGCAGTAGATAAGTTTTAAAGAACAGTCTTATTGTTAGGAAAAAGATGTTGATGTCGAAGGGTAAGGATAATGATATTCGATTATTTAAAGAGACTTGATGAACAAATATGCTTTGTACTTGGACTATCTTCATATCATGTTCTTCTTGACCTGTATGATAATCAGATGACAAAGACTTGAATTATTATTTTAATGAATAATCTGGAAGAAGCATAAAATATACATCAATATAATTCCTGAAAGGAACTATTGAGAGAGTAGGAATCTAATGCAGATGTTAATGATAAAATGTAGTGTGAATGACAATGAAGCCTACAATTTTTTTTAGTTTTTTTGATTTTTAGTAATATTTAATTATTTGCCCTCTTGGTCTCTAATGCTCGATCATGGCTATATATACAAAATCCGTTGCTGCAAAATTAAAAATTAACAACTGTTACATTCTTTTCTGATTTCAAAGATGATGCAAGTTGAGTCTTTTCAGTACTGGCCCGATGATTACAATTCAACAGACTCACCCCTGGAAGAAATAGGACTTTATTTTGCAGAAAAGTATGGCCAAGGGAGCTGCTTTGAGTTCCCTTCTCCATCAATCTCCATGGAGGATTTCTCCAATGATGTTTCTTCAGTTTTGTTATCCTCTCCTGTATATGATGATGACGACTCACATAATCTTGCAATTTATAGTGATGATTTGTTTGTTATGATCCCAGTGGAGCAATATTTACTAAACTTGGATGAGGTTGATATTCCTCTAAATGATCAGTTCATGGCTGATGAGTTCGAAGATTTTTCTGAGTTGATGGTGAGTGGCAGCAGCCCTATGTCACCACAATTATTTGCAGAAGAGGACACTAAGAGCCTGAATCTGTCACCAATATCAAGTGAGGCATCATCTATTGATGTCTCAGTTCTCCCATCAGATCAAACATTCCTGGTTTTTCCCTCAGAAGAAATGGAGGTTGATGACCAATTGAGCATTCTTCATCTGCTGAAGGCTTATGGAGAAGCAATAGAGCTGGAACAGAAAGATCTAGCAACAGAAATTATCAGGCGATTGACAGATAAGGCCTGTCCAACTGGTGCAACCCTCGAACGTCTTGCATATTTTTTGATCCAGGCCTTTGAGAAGAAATTAGACTACCTGAGTCAAGAATCAAGCAAGAACTTTGCCGCGGCTTTCAGAGCCTTCTATCAGATTTTCCCTTATGGAAGGTTTGCTCACTTCACTGCCAATTCAATGATACTAGAAGCTATTCCTGAGAATGCTCGGATAGTTCACATCATTGATTTTGACATTGGCCAAGGCATTCAATGGCCTCCACTAATTGAAGCACTCGGGAGGAGAGGCCAATTTTTGGTACAATTGACTTCAATAAAATGGGAGGAAGAGGATTGCAGTTACTTTCCTCCCACAGACAGCTTTGTGGAGACAAAGAGGAGACTGTATGAACATGCACGAAGTTTTGGTGTGAGATTGAAGATGGAAGAGATAGGCATGGAGAGCCTGGTGAGTGAGATGAAAACAAGGAGAAGTAGCAGAAGAAATGAATGGTTAGCCTTCAACTGCATGGTTGGTCTCCCTCATATGGGGAGACTGAGGAGTAATAAGCATGTTATGGAGTTTCTGAATGTGGCTAAGGACTGGGTCAATAACACAGGTGTTATAACTTTTGGTAATGTAAGTGAAGGGGAAAGATTAGACTGCAATGGATTTGGGTATTTCTTTGAAGAGAAGTTGCTTCAACTCCAAGCATTTTTTGAATCAATGGAGTGGCATTTCCCTGCTCACCTTTCGGAAGCAAGAATAGCAATGGAATGTCTGTTTATGGCACCCCAAGTTTCTTCCCTTGCTGACTTTCAGAATTTGGAGGAAATTAGTACTAGGAAAAGTATGGCTCTCTCTGAGATAGGGTTGAAGGCCTGGAGATTAAGCAGAAATAACCTTATGGAGGTTAAGGAGCTGGTGAGCGAAGGTAACAGTCTATATTGGGCAAAAAATACAGGCGAAAATGAGATGGTTTTGGGCTGTATGGAAACTCCATTGGTGAAAGTTTCAAGCTGGAGATAAGGAAATGACTTGGCAGGAGATGTATACTATACTTAAGAAGGATTACATTATTTTGTAGAGATTGTGAGAAAGGCTGATACATAGATGAAAGCTATAGAAGTTTTAGCAGACATTGATTCAGAATTTGCTGCATTAATTGATTTGTACATATCATGTTAAGGCATACACAATGATATTAATTTTCAAAATTATTCTTTTTTTTTTTTAAATACTAGATAAACTCGTACGATATGATAGATATAATATCTATTATTTCAATCACTTGTATAATATATTTATTATTTTACCTACTGTTTTTGGGTTAGGTAATTAGTTTGAATGCACCTCAATTATTACTTAATTATTTAAACATTGCGACGGTAACATTTGAAAAGCGATGTTGATGTAGAAGGTTAATACATCTTTAATATAGAATTATTTGATATTATTTGTTTGGGCTGTCTAATGGAAAATGCTTTGATGAAGACTTTGAATGCTCATCTCATTAGTCTCTTCTAAACTAATCCAAAGATTCCAAACAAACACAAAACTACAAAACTTCAATTTCCCTTGGACCTGCCAGGAGGCCCTCAACTCTTGGGGAACTACATTAAACAATAAGAAGTTCATAGAAATTGCCTCTGCTGCAGCCTGCATGGTCATACAGGGGAAGCCATAAAAATTGTTGATGTTCGATTTTAACACCAACGACTCGCACATGCAAAGTGCTAAGTTGGCTTAGAAATTATACGTAAATAAAAAACGCAGAAGTGTTTATGGTCCTGAGATTATATATGTTTGCAGAAACATAAATAATAGATTGGTAAGAGAGATTTTTAAAGTGGTTTGGATGCTTAAAGCGAATCCTACATCCACTGTTATTTTGTTATTCTTTGACTATTTCCATGATATTACCTGTAAGTCGCACAAAGATGAAGAAATACTTTCTCTCATGTGCCTAACTCTCATATGCCCAGCCTCTCATTTTTCACAAAGAGAGGTGCCCATTTATACACCTTTGAGATCACTGTAATGAGTGATTTTATAAGTTGTCTTGACACATGGAGAGCTCTCATTCGTCTTTATATTAAAATGAGATAGAGTTGGTATTAAATATCTTTGAGGTGGTATAGGTTTGACAGCTAGTACACTTTGTCTTTTAGGTAACTTTTTAGGCCCAACAAACCCCCCCCCCCCCCCCCCCCCCGCCCCAGTTTTTGGAGTGCATAATTGCACTTCAAAAACTCATGTCTTAGATCTGAATGGCTATCGCACTATAGGCTGCAGTCTCGAACTGAAGAGCTCAAACTATGTCTGGGACGATCGAGTGCTGAGAGCTAGGATCGCGATCCGAGTGCTTGGAGCAATTCGAAGTTGAGTGCGATTTGAAAACTAATATGAAATGTCCAGTAGATAAATTCCTAAAGAGAACTAACGTCAGAAGCCCAAACGCACGGCTTAGAGGCCTTAAATGGATAAGCCAACTTAAAACAATCATAACTTTTGATCCGAGAGGAGTTTTGAAGCCTGTAAGATATCCACGAAAAGCTTCTTCCGAGCTCTATGTCTTGGCAATGGGGGAACCTAGTTGGGGCCATTTTCGAGGCCAAAATCCACTGTTTCGGCATGTTTTGGGGCTGTTTTAAGTTTTCTACGTGTTTTTTTTTTTTTTTTTACGCTGGCAGATGGTCACAATCTGATAACTGAGAACTGATCATGATTTGAGAGCTGAGAACACAACCTGAGGTTGTTCGCAATCTCAGAGCTGAGAGTTGATCGCGATTTGAGAGCTAGGAGCTGATTGCAATCTGATAGAGGCTCGACTTAAAAGTCTGATGCAAGCGATCTCAAGCAAACGAGCGAGCTTATGAGCTCAATCAGAGAGCTTAAGGAGCTCGATCAGAGAGCTTAAGAAGCTCGATCAGAGAGCTTAAAGAGCTCGATTAGATAGCATAAAGAGCTCAATCTAAGATCATACAGAGCTCGATCATATAGCATAAGGAGCTTGATTTGAGATCATAAGGAGTTTGATCTAAGAGCATAAAGAGCTCTATCAAAGATCATAAGAAGCTCGATTAGATAGCATAAGGAGTTTGATCTGAGATCATAAGGAGCTCAATCTGAGATCATAAGGAGCTCCATCAGAGAGCATAAAGAGCTCAATTTGAGAGTCTGATGTATGCGATCTTAAGCAAACGAGCGAGCTTATGAGCTCAATTAGATAGCATAGAGAGCTCGATCTGAGATCATACGGAGCTCGATCTGAGAACCCGGGAAGTTCGATTAAAAAGCGCAAGGCTTGATCTGAGAACATAGGAAGTTCGATAAGAAAGCGAGAAGCTGGATCTAAGAACATAAGATCAGCGATCTAAGCACTCAGAAGCGTGATCTAAATGATCTGAAAGCGTGATCTCAATGATCTTGAATGCGCGATCTAAGAAATCAGATGCGTGCGATCTGTGATCTGACCACGCGATCAAAGAGCTGAAGATCAAAGCGATCTAAGCGTGCGATCTACGATCTGACCATGCGATCAGGGAGCTCTAATGCGTTTGATCTGACCACGTGCTCTGAAGTTAAAGATCAGCAATCTAAGCTAAAGATCAGAGCAATCTGAGCGTGCGATCTGTGATCTGACCATGCGATCGGAGAGCTCTGATGCATGTAATCTGTGATTTGGCCACGTGATCCGAGAGCTCTGATGCGTGCGATCTACGATTTGGCCATGCGATCAAAGAGCTCTGATACGTGTGATCTGCGAACTGGCCACACAATCCGAGAGCTCTGACGCGTGCGATCTGCGATCTGACCATGCAATCTGAAGTTGAAGATTAGAGTGATTTGAGCGTGCGATCTACGATCTGACCACGCGATCGGAGAGCTCTCGGAATAGGGTTTAGTATTTTGATGATAACTTGAGTTGTAAACCTCAGATTCGGATAATTCTTAGACCATCAGAAAGCTAACTCGAAGGGCTACAACTCTTGTGCTTATCACATTGCCAGATTCAGACTCTATCCTGCTCGGATCTCCACATCAGACGACGTGAAGATTTTGAGGCTTGCTGGAAAAACATGGAGAGCTAATGTTAATCATGCCCTCCCTCTAACGCCAAACTATTGATGTTTGATTTTGACACCAGCAACTCCCACGTGCAAAGTGCTAAGCTGGCTTAGAAATTACAAGTGAATGAAAAACATAGAAGTGTTTATGGTCCTGAGATTATATATGTTTGCAGAAACATAAATAATAGATTGGCAAGAGAGATTTTTAAAGTGGTTCGAATGTTTAAAGCGAATCCTACATCCACTGTTATTTTGTTATTCTCTGACTATTTCCATGATATTGCCTATAAGGCATACAAAAATGGAGAAATGCTTTATTTATAAAGAAAAATAAGCTCTCATGTGCCTAACTCTCATATGTCCAACCTCTCATTTTTCACGAAGATAAGTGTCCATTTATACACCTTTGAGATCAATGTAATGAGTGTTTTTGCAAGTTGTCTTGACACATGGAGAGCTCTCATTCTTCCTTATCTTAAAATGAGATAGATTTGGTATAAAATATCTTTGAGGCGGTATGGGCTTGACAGCTAGTACATTTTGTCTTTTAAGCACTTGTTGCGCTGACATCAGTGTGACTTTTTAAGCACAACAAAAATGATTTTGGGTGGTCGAATGTTGTGTTCAGCAAATAAGGAGATCGGGTTATAGAAGATATATAGGATCCATTAACACAATTTTTAAGCACTTCTGGGTTGAGATTTCATGGGTTGGTGGCAATTCTGCAAGCCCAAAACGTTGCATGAATCCTGGAGGGGATCAACACCACCTAGCCCTCTCCTTTTAAGTCCTTTTTTTTTTTTTTTTTTTTTTTTTTTGGTATCCAAGGGTGTTCGGGCCAGCAGAGGCGTCCCTCAATTAGTCCCTTGGGACCTTGAAGTTAACAATCAGATAAGCTTCCAGTGGCTACCCCTTATTAGTAGTTATAAGGATTCAAACTCAGAATCTCTTAGCTAATACACCTAAGAGTCTTAAGCGAACCACCAAGCTACCTAAAGGTAGTTTCTCTCCTTTTAAGTCGCTCTAACATACATTTGTGTATCACTTCTAAGAAGCTGAGCTTACTCCCAACAAGCTAAGTGGAAAGTGAAAATGACTTTGTAATCTTTGCCGATTTAATGTCCCAGTATGAGTTGGTCATATGCCATTTTCTACAACTTTAAGAGGTTCCCTTGTCTGTTTCTTTAATTTAAGACCTGACCCAATTGAGCCCCACTTCAATTTACATTTATAAAAATTCAAGACCAAGTAATCGATTATGGTCCACAATGACTAACCAGACCACAAGGACTTGAGCTTTTAAGTGGTGGTTCGGACATGGGTCCGACCCTAAAGCCTATGCCCTCCATTTGTTAGTAGACATGTAACATGTTAAGATTACCATCCAAACATGCTTTAAGAAAGCAAAATCTGCTTTGTTGTTTTTGTATGGTGTAGGGTCAATTTCTTGGCAAATCTAATTTGGGTGCACCAAATGGCTCCTTTTTATTCAATCAATATATTTGACGTTAATAAGGTACCGAGTTTAATTCATAAGAACTTGTTTTTAGGTTTCACGTAAACATCTTTCACCTAACGATGTTTTTACAAGATGTGATGCTTGAAATTGAACTACTCCTCACGATGAAAAGTACACCAAACATGTTGTCGAAAGGCATTAATTTAACTTTAATATAAGATAAAAAAATAAATTAACATTCCATCTAAAAAATAAAAAAATTAATAAATTAAATATATATAGAAGACTAAACATCATTTTCTTTATCTTCTTCTTCTCTAATCTCTACCATATGATTGAACAATCACAACTTCACTACTTATCTTCCACGCCATGACTTCCCCTTCAAAAGCTCTCTCATGGGCCACAAAGATTTATTCATAATCAAGACTAACATATTATATAATAAACTCATTTTGGGTATCTTTTATGTTACTCTTATTTTCTTCTTTGTTAGATTAATTTATTAATTCATATATATTATATACTAAAAAATGAGTATAAAAATTGATTAAGAAATGCTTAGTTGTATAATTACCATTTTAATTGGATATATATATTAAGTACTAAAAAAATGAGTAGAAAAATTGAACCCTTCTATAAGTAGCCCAGACGGTTATGATGAATTAGGGATAGTGTGGATAGACACACAGTCTCAGGTTTGATTCCCCATTTGAGTATATGAAATTTAAATCGAGGGTCGTGGTAATAGATTGTTGCACTAGTCTCTCCTGAGAATTGATTAAGGTATGAGTAAACTAATCCGGACACTTTGATTAAGAGAAAAAAAGAGTATAAAGATTGATTTTCACATATATAATTTTAAAATTATTATGTTGAATAGGGTTACAAACACTCCCAAATATAAGGTCCAAAATTCATCTTCAATCACATGGCAAACATGCAAGTTGGCTTAAAATAAGATAAATAATTGAGGACCCAATTTGGTCTTGAATTATTGTATTCTCGATATATATTATATTATCTTATCTTCTATAATTTTATGTTATATAAAATACTCATAATATTAATCTATTATTATATACTCAATTCTAAAATAATAAAAAAATGTATTTATTATTGTTTTTATCATTGTTTTAAAACCCAAACAGGAGGGCAACCCGTTTTGTTGTCCGGGTCATTTTAAAAAATGACATATTAATCCCTCAAATTTTAATATATGACAAAAATTCCCCTAAAAAAGTTCAAATGAGTCCTTAAAATTTTGATTCATTTAAAAAATACCCCAAAAAATTACCAATCAATCCCTAAACTTTTGACATATCTCCAAAACACCCCTATAAAATTATAAATTAACCCTTATAATTTTAAAATATTACAAAAACCCTCTAAGACCTGAACCGGACCAGAGAAGCTGCAAGGTCCCAGTCGGATCGGTCGATCCGATTTGGTTTTTAAAACTGAGGTTTTTATTTTTATTCTTTTTTTCGTAATATTTGTTTACTAATCATATTATGCTTGTATTCTAAAATAACAGACACAGGGGTGGATGCAATACTAATCGATGGCTCATCTTCATATTTTTAAAAAAATTATTAATATGTATGATTTCTGGATTTTAATTCACCGTAACAAATTTTTTTGAATCTGTTCCTACTAAAATGGATAAGATCCTACCATCCAATCACAAGGCCGATGGTTCCCATTTTCATTTTCGAGAATATAGAACCAGATTTTCCTTTCAATTTTTGAGATTGATTTTTAGAAACAAAAACATCATATTCAATACACCGAATCGACTTGACTCGTGATATAGACGCAATAAAATTTAATATTAACCTTAGAATTTCATTTCTGAAAACAAAATCATCAAATTCATTCATGAACGACTTGACCCGTGACATACACGCAGCTTCATATTTTCTTCCTCCAATTCGGAAGCTTGTGAACTGTAATTATACAGTGATGGCAAGTTGGACCAATTCAACTACCATCAGTCACCCACACGTAAACTGACTGAAAACAGTACGTGGCATCAAGTAATTGGTGTGTTCGTAAGTCTCTATCACAAGTCAGTCATAAATGAAGGTAGATCGTACAGTATTGCATGGATGTAACTGTATCCAATCCCCATACTTTTCCATTTAAAAAATGAAGAAAATGATAATACTAGCATGACCACCAATTGGCATTTACTAGACGCCAGCTTGCCGCAGACACGAAACGCGGCATTTTAGATTAGATTTTCCTCGTTGAATTGGTGTTTTTTTAATTAAATGTTTTCAAAGAATTTATTTTTCTGAAACATTTTAAATGTTTTTTTTTTTCATTTTAAAAACACTTTAATATTGGAGTCAAAATCTCATAACTCATATATATGAAAATAATTTTGAATAAGAGTAAACAACTTTTTTCCACCTAAGGTTTAGCCTAATGACACTTTCTCACTCAAAAAGTTTCAAAATACAATTTTATTACTCAAACATTATGTTCCGTTAATAATTTCTGTTAAATATAGTGATATATATTGTAAAGACGAAACAGACAGTAGGCGATAGTGTCACTTTGACTATAAACGACTAGCAAGTGGGTAGTAGGGTGTGGGGGGTTTTGTAAAGTGGGGACTGATGAAGTAGGGGATGACGACAACAATGATGACTTAGATTTTGGCCACTGAATTTGGCTGGAAGCGACAAAACCCTAATCCAAATGGCGTTGGCAAACGGTGGGAGCAATCAGACAGTAGTCAAGGGGGTTTTGGAGTATAGAGGTCAAGGAATCTCGTGGTGGTGAAGGGGCAGGCCAAAGTCTTTGATTTTGGTGGCGCTGGGTGCTTGCGCACGCTGTATTACATGCTCATTAGGAGTGCGCGCATGTTGGCTTGTTGGTGACTGGGGCTTTTCATTGGGGCAATAGGTTGAACAAGTGGTGGGCTTCGATGGAGCAACAAGGTTGGAGAAATGGGGGAACCGTCGACAACCAAAAAAATCAACACAATAGCAACACAAACACTTCAAGTAGCAAACCACAATTCAACACTTGAAATAAAACAACGTTTTGAAGGGGATTGGGGTCGCAAAATGTAATTGTCTCGCAGTGGCGAGTGCAGGTCACAATGACAAAACGGCGAGTGGGGGAAGCCAATAAAGGGTGGAGTTTTGAAGAGGTGGGGAAGGGGATTCGTACAGTGGTGATAAGGGTACTTTTCGGTGTCTAAAATGGTCAAAATCTAATCACGAAACAGTGAGTTTTAGTGAAGATGTAGTGGTAGTTTCCCGATGATTGGAGACAAAAACATGACCGACTTATATTTGTAGCATTTTTCTGGTTTTAGAAATATTGAATGTTAACTGACCATCATGTTCTTACTTATAACACACTTTTTACCATTTTGTCCTTTTTCATAACAAAATTTATAAACAGAACTGTGTTATGGGTAGTAAAGTTATATTTTGAAACTTTTTTATTGGGAAAGTATCATTAGACAAAACCTTGGGTGGGAAAAGTGGTTTACTCTTAAATAATTTTCTAAAAAAAAAAAGCTGATAAAGGAAATTTAGAATAATTTGATATTAACTTGATAACTACAATATCAATTCTAAGAATTTTAAACATGTATATGGTTGAGTTGTCGCACTTGAATATTTCTTTAATCAAAAAAGTAAAAAATAAAAAAAATGAATTAATCCAAAAATAAAATTCAATTATAATGAAGATTAGCGGTAATTAGAAGAGTATACAACACGTGAATAGCACATGCTATCAATAGGACGGCGCTTTAAATTTACGAGCGCGCGAGGAAGTAAAGTCTAAAGACTCCCTCCCTACAAGACAAACCAAATTCTACGTCAATGGATCGCCGTGTTTAAGACTTTTAACTCGCCAACACAACTCAGCTCAACTCAACTCAAAAACATGTATTCTCTCTGTCTCTGTCTCTTAATTTCAGCTAAACTTGCAACAATATCTATCTGAGTTTCTGTATCTTCGGTGAGAATTTGTACGTTCTGTATATATATTTTTCTTCTTTGTTTATCTCAAGTTAGGTAACCGGTAATTGATACAAGAACGACAGAGAAAAAAGAAAGTGTTGAAACAGGGTATAATCTTATCGTAAACTACTTCTGTGAATGGATGAAGAGTGGAGATTTGGCCATCGGCAGAGCTTCAACATGGCGGTGTTTATGGCGGTGTTATTGCTGTTTCTTCAGAATCTGAGTCTTTGTTCGTCTCTGAACAGCGAAGGTATATATATTTATATATGTGTGTACGCATTTATTGCATGTCCGGACAGGTTCAGGCAAGTTTTGAACTTTGAACAGAGAATGATGTGTGAGGTGTATGAACATACAGGTTTGGCACTGTTGAGATTTCGAGAGAGAGTGGTGAGAGACCCTTTTGGGGCGTTATCAAAGTGGGATGATAGTGGTACCGATATTGATCCTTGTTCGTGGTTCGGTGTTGAGTGCTCAAATGGAAAAGTAGTCTTCTTGTGAGTAACTTATCATATCTTCTTCTTTATTTCTTCTGCATTTCTCATTTTTGCTCTCAAATGACTCATGTAGTTGATAGTTAATAATGTTTGAAGTTTTAGAACTTCTGGTCTTCCTGATCCAATATACAGATTCGCCGCCAACCACCACAACACCCACAAAAAAAAAAAAAAAAAAAAAAAAAGTCCGAATTTGACACTTAAGAGATTTGGTAACGAGGCTGAAAGATTTTCAGTGTTTTGTGTATTTTTTTAATCCGTAATCATTTACTTTATGAAGTCTTTTCATAACTTTGATTATCACGTAAAATATGTACAGTAGTGTGTTCTTGAATGGCATTTATCATCTTTCAACTACTCACACTGGCAAGTTTATTCAATCAATTATTGAGCTTGGTTGGAAGATCTAAACAGGGTTTTTTTGCTAGCTTGATTGTAGTATTGTTGATGAAGAATGGAAGATTTTATAAAGAATTTTTCTTTTTCTTTTTTGAAAGTGACGACAACCACTTAATGTTGCATATGTGATGTTTTTGAAGGAATGGTCCTTGCATTTTTTCCCATTCTCTTGTTTGATTTATTATATCAACATTATTAAGTGTAAACCTTACTTTGCTGTTGATTTGCTATGAACTTTTTACACCTCTAATGGTTGAGCAGAGAGTAATTCTTCTATGTCTTATTTACCTTCATTAATTGTGCTTTAATATTCAATTGCAGAAATTTAAGAGATCTTTGCCTCGGAGGGACACTGGCACCTGAACTTGGAAAACTTCCGAAATTAAAATCTATGTGAGCATGTAACTTGGCCTCATCATGTATATAATTCTCTTATCTTTGCACCTTGTTTTGAATCTCCTGCCTTTTTGTTTACAGTATTCTTCGCAACAATTCATTTTTTGGAACCATTCCTAAAGAGATTGGAGAACTGAAGGAGTTGGAAGTGTTGGATTTGGGATATAATAACTTTAGTGGGACGTTTCCTTCTGATTTTGGCAATAAGCTGTCTCTGACTACCCTGTAAGTTGGCCCTTAAATGTTACTTATGCTAGTATGTCTTTGGGAAGCTTATTGATTGAATTTTCTTGGGACTGTTTTCTGCAGTTTACTGGACAACAACCAATACCTTGGTGGCATATCTCCCGAACTATATGAGCTTAAGACAATTTCTGAGTTTCAGGTGGAAGAGAAACAGATAACCAATGCTGCTTTAAGAGCATCTTATGGCAGAAAATTATTATTTTCATGGTAAGCGAGTTCAATAAGCACAGTACTTTTTCTTATCAGTTATTTAATACGAATCCCCTTCAGAATTGTGAACTTTAGTCTTAGCTAGTTTAATCTGCCCCTCTGTAAATCAATCCCTTTTCTGCATCTTGAATATTTCATGGCGTAATTATTTTTCTTTTAGGAGTCCAGCAACATGGTCTGGTCAGGTCTCTGTCTAAGAATTTGTGTAATATTACGAAGAAGTAAAGGTAAAGGAGAAAGGGAGAAAACTTTCGGACAAAATGTAAAGAAGCAATGTTTTACTGTAGTTACCGAATAATGTTTGGACTATGTCATGTAATTAAGGGAACAATTAGATATATGTGTGAATCAGCAAATCATAAGGGATGAAATTGGTTTATGTTCTTAATAAAACTGTAATAAGCTTGAAAACTAAGACTGAGAGGTGCTGAGGGTCTAATCATGAGTAAAAATCAAGCTCATATCATTCATTTTGCAGAGACTTTCTCTTAGAGCACTTCGTTTTTTCTTTGTTAGGAAAAGTATCCGATCTGGAGATATTGCTTACAGGAGGCTGCTGCAGCGACTAGCAAGTTTAGATCATTCAACAGCCCCTACACCGTCACAACCTCCATCACTTTCTCCTTCACCGCCTCCTGCAGATCCTACATTTTCTTCTCCATCTCCATCTCCTGCACCTATGGTAGCACCACCTCCTGTATATCCACCAAATGTTGTTGCAAAACCACCTCAATGGCCTGCGTCTCCAACGCCTTCTCCTGCTTTGACTCCAAGCCTGGCAGGGACTGATTCCAAGTCAAAGCATCATATAGTTCTAATTTTGGCTGGAATTGTTGGAGGCTCATTCTTAACTCTGTTTTTGGCTATTGGCATTATCTTCTCCAGAACCAGTAAGGTGGTTACTGTCAAACCTTGGGTAACAGGGTTAAGTGGGCAGCTTCAGAAAGCATTTGTAACAGGTATTTCTTTGTTTTGAGCATGCTCGCCTCATTACATATGCGTGGATACTCATATATTCTAGTCTACATTTCAGGTGTACCTAAACTTAAGCGAGCAGAACTTGAAGCAGCATGTGAAGACTTCAGTAACATAATTGGCTCTTATTCAGATGGTACTGTGTATAAGGGAACTTTATCAAGTGGGGTTGAAATAGCTGTAACATCTACTTCTGTCAAATCTCGTGCAGATTGGTCAAAGAGTTTAGAATCACAATTCAGAAAGAAGGTAATTTTAAATTTATTGAAAATTTATGGATGCAGTATAGCAATCCCAGTCCCTGAATGTCACTTTTGGCCTTGTTTACAGATAGACACGTTATCAAAAGTAAACCACAAAAATTTTGTGAACCTTATTGGGTTCTGTGTAGAAGATAAACCTTTCACAAGAATGATGGTTTTCGAGTATGCTCCAAATGGAACACTCTTTGAGCACCTTCACAGTAAGTTCCTTTTAACTTCTATAAACTTTTGTATAAACATAATGAAGCATTCTTCCGTTGGTATAGCTATATATTGCAGAACCTACTTATATTAGCTGACAAGAAACTATGACATGAGCATAAGGAACCTTAAAAACTCACAATAGATGAAACTATATGAACCGCTTTGTGATTTGAATGACATTGAAATCTGGATTTCCTGCAGTACAAGAAGCGGAGCATCTGGACTGGGGAATGAGGCTACGCATAGCTATGGGCATGGCCTACTGCCTTGAGCATATGCATCAGTTAACACCACCCATTGCTCATAGAAAACTGCAATCTTCCTCCATATACCTGACCGAAGATTATGCGGCCAAAGTATCAGACTTCAGTTGCTGGAATAACACAACTGCAGCTAAGAATGGATCAGCTTCGATGGAACCTTTAGAAACCTCAGAAAATGATCTAGAAAGCAATGTCTACAACTTCGGAGTTATTTTGTTTGAAATGATAACTGGTAGGATCCCATACGTGGTGGACAACAGCCCTCTTGAGGACTGGGCATCAGCGTATCTGAGAATGGAACAACCATTAAAAGAAATGGTGGATCCAACTCTAAAATCTTTCCAGGAGAGTAAGCTTGAGAAATTGCTTGGAGTTATCAAGGACTGTGTCCACCCTGATCCTAAACAGAGACCACCAATGAGAATAATTGCAGCTAAGTTAAAAGAGATAACAGCAGTGGGACCTGATGGAGCAATACCAAAATTATCTCCTCTCTGGTGGGCAGAACTAGAAATTATGTCCACTGAAGCAAGTTCATAAGTGAAATTTGGCCTTACATAAATTTAAAATGATCTTGACCTTTTCTTTTCCCTGCTTCTGTTGTTGGCCCCAGAAGCAGTGGTATGTAGAGTAGATGTTACTCTTGTCTTATACAAGGTAGAGGATAGATTTTTGTAAATAACTGAGAGAGACCTGCTGGCTTTTGTTTGCTTTCTTCCTCGTTATCGAAATTGATTGTATAAATTTCTGCATATAGTGTATGATTATGACATCAATAAATTTGAATTTATTTTTTCTTTTCTTTATAAGGCTGCTATTACATTTGTTAGTCATCTCAGTTGAGTCAATTACAGTCCTTATTTTCAAGCATCAGCTCTTCAATCCCATCGGTTTCTATGGCAGCTTAGAATCTGTTAGGATCCAAAGGGAAAATGGTGGACATGTGAGTTATAAAGGCTTAGGCACTCTCCCTTGACAAGCTGGTTTTCTAAAGAGAATTTTACTCAATCCCATGAAACACCAATGGTCCAGCCCAAATTGTTGAGTTATTGGAATGGGTTCCTATCAATTGGTATCAGAGCATGATCCTGCGCCTTTGTGAAAACGCAAGCGTGGCAGGTTGACCTTGGGCTCAGGCTGCTACCTCGAGGGCATGGAGGCTCAAGGAAAAGGGGATTCGCGTAGTCACCCAAGGGGTAAAGAGGCCGACGTGGATGTCGGTTGCAAAAGCATGGTGGAATATTAGAATCCCACATTGAAAGGGAAAAGGGTGGACATGTAGGTTATAAAGGCTTAGACACCCTCTCTTGGCAAGCCGGTTTTCTAAGGAGAGTTCTACCTAATCCCATGAAAAACTCATGACCCAACCTAAATTGTTGAGTTATTGAAGTGAGTTCTTATCAAAAATCTTTTCTAGATGAACATTCAGTCTTCTGCATGTACAGTACTACAGATATAAAATTGAAGAAAAAAAAGAAGAATGTATTAACAAATAAAAGAGACTAAAATCTCTTCGTGACCTCTATGTACAAGATGGATTTTTTTTTTTTTTTTCCTTAAAACGAAATAAAAATCTGCTACTAATGGAAGACAGTTGGTGAATCCTACACCCTTCCAAGAACAATAACAAAGTTGCGAGAGTAAACACTGTTACTATCTTTACATGCCAAGAGGATATATTGTATTTAACCACTTTTCACCAGATTCGTCTGGGTGGTAGCCTGCAGTTCTTTGTTCCACAGCATCATCATAATCCTATGATATATATAAATACATACCTCTGCCACTCCCTTGTTCCTCCTTTCTCTTGATGTATTCCTCTCTTCTCATTGCTATGGCCGCCTAAGTTGTTGGATGCTAATAGAGACCACAACATCCAGGAACAATTTGGCTGTATATGAATTCCCCATGATTTTCTTTCCTCAAGCCTGACAATATAGCCTCCTTCAATGCAATAACTTCATCTGCACAGGTGAGTAAATCTCACTTCTGTGGATGATTGGTTCGGTCTCTTGCTCTATTATACAGATCAAGTGTGTCCATGTGATTGGGGTCCAAGCAAAGAGCTGCTGCAGAGTCTTGGATAGCAGATGTGAGGTCCCCCATTGACTCGTAAAAAGCTGCTCTCAGATGAAGCATTTGTAAGTCAGGCTTGAAAGCTAGTGCCTTTGAGAGCTCCTCTACAGCTTCTGCTTCTTTCTGGTCATCCATTAATACTGAGTATGAAGATAATCCAAGTCAGAAACGTTTTGATTTTACCAGGTAACAAATGAGAATTACTGAAGTGACATCAATCATAAATGTCAACTAATCCTTCAAAAACACTTACATAAGTTTAACACACAAAACACCAAAAAATTATCCCAACTATTAATCTTAAGTATCATTCTTAACCAGAACTCAAACAATCGACATGATAAGAATATTCTCACTCAATTTCCTCTGTTGAATCAATCCATTGATAAAAAGAAAATAGTAATTAAAAATAAACAATTATAGGTACCTAGACAAGATCAAGTTAAACGTATCTAGAAGAACCATATATCAGAAGGAGAAGAACCCAGAAAATCTTAATCCATATCACCTATGATGATTACAACATGCAATGAAGTATTTACGTTAGGCAGAGCAGCCAGTACTTGTATGTAAGAAGTCATAAACTTGAACAAGGAAAAAAAGACAAAAAAAAGTAGGCTTCCAGTTAGAATCAAAATGCAAAAATTGGTGCATAAAATTACCAGCTGCCCTATATCTGTAAGGGTATGTCCTGAGTGGATCCAGTTGGGTTGCCATTTTAAGATCATCCATCGCCGTCTCACGCTCACAGTATTCTGATCGTTTCTCATATGCTGATGCACTATTATGTGCCTTCTCTATTAGCTTAGTCATCTCATCATAAGCAGCTTTTCGCTGATTTTTCAAATAATATACACGTGCTAACCCTTGATGGGCTCTTGTATGCTTGATGTCAAGAGCATTTATGTAGCAATTTGCGGCCAGATCTAGCTTGTCACAATCCACATAAATACTCCCTAAATTATTCAATGCCTGCAAAGATAATAAATATGATCAAACAAGTATTTCAAGGCATGCATGGACAAATGATAAGGGTATTGGTACATTCGGAACTCACTTGTCCTTTCCGGAGACCATCTGAAGGACACTTGAGAGCTTCTTCCAATAGTTGGATAACATAAGTTGAACATTCAGGATCAACACTTGTATCTGCCAGTATGTATGCTTTAAGGAAAAAGGCTTCAAAAGACCTTTCAATTAAAATAGACTTCTCAGCCCTAGAGAGAGCTTCTACTCGATGGCCAGTGTCATATAAAATCCATCCTTCATAAATCAATCTTTCGTGTTCGGACCTCGAATGATTTTTAGCCAACCGTAAACAGCGCATTGCAGCCTTCTGACAATTTAACCTATAAATACACAGTTACCCAATTTATACAAGCTATTGGGTGATATAAGTTCAACGTTGACAACTGCCACAAGGCAGAATTCCCAATTTACACACAAAATAACATTACAGTTTTAACAACTAATCAAAAACATCCAAGGAAACAAGGAAAAATGCAAATGCAGGGCTAAAAAAGAAAACACATATAATGGATGCAACTGACAGTACAAATGCAGCTAACAGCAAGATTTATAAGTGAATCCATGAGGCCAAGATTTGATATTCAGTTTAAAAATATGAGTATATAGTCTCACGAAAAAATCATGATTTACACCCTAGAGAACATGTGAAATAGGATAAAGTTGAGAAAATAAAGATCTCAATAGTCATGCAGTCTTCTGAACTATAAGTATATAAGAGTATAATTATATAAGATAATGAACTATAAGTATCATTAAAGATACTTACCTAAGTAGAAGCAAAGATTGCCGAAATCGTAGGAAGCTTTTTCCTGGGTCATGTACTAGCATCTGATGTATGGCAGCCAGAGAGCCAATATCATCTACAGAAGACCATCTATCATAAAGTTGCATCCAGCAATCAGCTGGACTCCACTGCTGAACCCGATGGCTCAGAAGATCAACAATGTGATCTCCATTCACCCTGTCATGAAACATCATGTAGTTGGGCTCTAAAGTTAATAGTGCTAGAATGTCTCTCAGAGCACTTTCATAATCCTCAAGCGCAAGGAAGAACCAAGCTCGCAATTCAAGACAGTCTGCAGAGAGCCTGAACCCAATGATTCTGTTGATCTCTGCGATAGCAGCACTAATTTGCCTCTCTTCTACCTTTGCAACAGCTCTGTATTTATATGGAAATGAAAGAGTGGGATCCAATTCAGTTGCAGTGTCCAAATCTAAAATCTTCTCCCTGCCAAGATTATACAAAGACCGCTCTTGGTACATCCACCCGGTTGGTTCATGCTCAGAGATAAGAGAGTGCATCAACTTATAGGCTGAGAACTGTTGCCCTTGCCTGTACTTGGTTCTAGCAAGTCCAGCCAATGAATAAAAATGACCCACCTCAGCAGCTGCCTCGAAATAACACTGGGCATCCTGGTACTCTTTTCTCTCAAGCATCACACAACCCAATTGATGCAAAGCAAGCATCCTTTGCCACTGTTCAGTTGCACATTCCTCTAACCTTTTCAACAACATAACTGTTGTGTGCGATATGATGTTCTCTTCCATAGCCACCTGGCTCAGGAAATAATACAATAGGAAAGAAGCATGCCCCACATTGACCAATCTTTCCCTAGCCTCAGGGCCACAAAATATTTTCAGCACTTTAGGATTATACAAAGAGCTGGGGAGCTCTCTTAGCAACACCTGCAAGCAAGAAGCTACTAGAAGATTTGCCCTTTCCTCCAAACCATATTCAATAAGAATCAGTGCATCCTCAATATTAACAAGAAGTGAAGCTAAATGAGCATCACAGGTAGACTTCATCTCCTCACAACAGAACCTATTTGCAAAAGAAAGTAGCTCCAAAACAATCCCTGGGCAAAACAAATCTACTCTTCTAGTCCTACTATACGTTTCCACAGCCCTCATTCCCTTAACAGATATCCCACCCTGCGAAAAATCAATCTTATCCCTTCTAGATTCAATAAATTCACCATACAACATTGCCTTAAACGGACTCGAAAGTGCTGCAATTTTATAGCGATTAAAATAAATCTCCTCATCACCAATACAAAATGCAAAATCCTTATTCTCCTCCTCCTCCTCCACCTCCTCCTCCGAACTCAAACACTCATTCTCCACTACAATTTGTGCTTCAATTGGCTTTGAACATCCCTCGCAACATTTACAATTATCATAAACTGAATTTGGTTCATACCCAGATGCCAAAGCAGCCACTGGACATTCAAGGACGAACCCACTACAATCCATAGATGCAACACCAACGAGCTCATCTTCTCTCCTCTCAAACCTTAACCAGGCTGAGAGCACAACCTTTGAGTGCACATCTGTAGCATACTGCCTTGCAGACCTGAGACACCTTCTTAACAGCTTGGCATCACCTAAGCCACGCAAGTAAGCGTACTGCTCAATGCGTACTGATGATTTATCGGTCTCTAAACAAGTCTCAAGTCGTTGATAAACATGAGCTAAGGCTTCTACATAATGTATTGGCTTGAGATTAGGGTCAATGGTGGGTTCAATAAGGTCAGTTGTTGGCAGTCCAAACAGAAGGTGGGTTTGAGCCACAGAGAGAGAGTTGTTCTTGCTTGACTTTAACCCAATAAATTTGATTCTTTTGTGATTGTTAAGTTTATTTCCAATAGCAAAACCGTTGGTGCTACCAGTGCTATTGTCTGGTGAATTTAAAGCGTGCACTTGGGTGCTCTTGAATCTTTCTATGAACTTAAATCCACGCATTTTGTATATCAATATATACTATTTTGTGGGCATGTGTGCAGTTATACGTTTAAAAAGATAAGATTTTTAACAGTTTCGATACAGAAATCTCAAGTCTTAATCACTAAAAAGCATAAAAACGAAGGTTTCAACAAAGAGTTCAATTTACCTCTCTGCCCTGCAAAGTTCAAACACCACCACCTGTCCAACCCAGAAAGAGAGAATGACAGAGATAGAGCAGTTGCAGGTTACAGGCCGAAAGGGTGTTTGTTTCTCGGGAAAGAGAAAGAAGATTGTAGAAGAACTTTTAGACTTTGCGTTTTCTCACTCTCTCTTTCATGGTGGAGACTAGAAAAGATTCGTTTTTTTGAGAGTTCTCTCTTTTACTTTGTGTATCTCTCTCTATCTATCTCAAGAGATGCAGTAGGGTCCTTATTATTCTAAATTTTGTCGGTTTTGGTTACCAGAAACTTTTGGTTTTGATTTAGGTGACTCACTCCAAAATCAAATTGGTTTTTGATTACCCAGTACCCACTACATTATTGCCACGTCACCATCTATGGATATGAAAGAACTGGTCAACTGGTTAGATGGTTGGTTAATTTCACCTCAGTAAAGGTACCTTCTCCTTTACTGCTTGCTACGTTGTTAACCGCAAAAAGTGGATTATGTGTTGAATTGCATGCTAAGCAAAGTGGAATTCAGGTGGAGTAACAGTTGGACCATCTAATTTGTTATGTTCTTGAGTCTCATCCTCACCAAACAGTTGATCCTCCAGTTAAAGTAACTTTTTTTAAGGTTCCGAGGTACATTAAAAAACAAAACAATTTACAGATGGTTAAAATTTGTTGTTGTGCTTGAAAGAAGAAGAAGAAGAAGACATGCAGCGTTCAATCATCTTTCATAATTGATGGATCAACGACATGAACAAATTCAGTTTGGTTCATTGGTAAAATTTCAAAATCATGAACAGAGGCCTATAAATTATTAAGATCATAAAAGGGCACCTCCCCATCAGAACCCACCAATCTTATCATACAAATAAACAATATTATAGATCACATCTGGAGAAAATATTTATTTCATTTCTTTAATTAACCTCTCAGCAAACACATGCATATGTCAAGATATGGTGCTAATTATTAACTAATAAACAAAGGGAAAGGCCGAAAGGGGGTACTTATCAATCAAATTATTGATGGGTAGGTAACAAACACTATTAGATCTAAGAATAAGCTTGCAAAGATTAAATTAGGTATCTTTTTTTTTTTTTTTTCCTCCCAAAATGAGATTCTAACAGTGATTGGAGGACTAAACAATTAATTTTTCGTTGAACATTTGCACATTGTTTAACATTATTGCCACTTGCAGGTTGCAGCCATATCTAAAACAGAATATAAACCAGCTCTGGAAGGACAAAGAAAGGAGGAGCAAAGAGACAAGAAATGTAATCATGTGCTTAAGACCCCATGTGAGAGAGTTCTGAAACAGCCAATCTTCATCAGTTTTTCTTACTTGGACAGCTTGATGAATGATGATTGAGAGGGTAGAGTAGCAGACTAATTTTCACCAACTTGTGCACATGTCAAGGACTGTGGAATTAAATTTTTGCAAAGAATCTATTCAAGATATAGCAAAGGCTAGAAAGTATAAAGCATCTCATAGTTTTATCAATTTTAGTCACCAGTCATTTCAGCCTTGGGCATATTGTGTGTGGGTAATGGCCCTATGAAGCCATCACTTCAACTTGGGATCATAAGGATTTGATTTGATGGTGTTAAGTTCTTCATTGTGGGCCTCTAACTTTACTTTTGGAAGTGATATTGATGAACCAAAAAAGGCAGAGATAGGACAGAAATAGGTAAATTCTGATTACAAGGCATACCATATAAAGCTGAACGCAAAAAGAAAGATAGACCAATAATAAACAACATAATGAAAATGACTAGGAAAAACATAAAGATTAAGTTTAATGTTCATTAAAGTTTTGCTTTTTGAACAGCAAATAACATAACAAGTTGGACTTGGTAATGCTAGTTCTCCACACCAACCCTTGGATTATGGATCTAAGATTAACAGAATTATGATTCAATAGTTCAAATAGAGTAGCATTTTTCCTGCAAGTTGTTATTCTTTAATGCTTTTAGTAGCCAACTACATTTGAGGGGCAGACATGGAGCATAAGTAGGCTATTAAATCACTCAAAGCAAACCCAGAAATGTTTTGACGGTCCCTTGAGTTCAACACCACATTGGGCCACCAAATATAAACCAGCAGGAGAAGTGGGTATCTAAGAGACTGTAAATATATTGACACTGAGTCACCTGTAGAGTTGTTGTTAGTTATACTTGCCCAGCCACCTAACCTGGTACTAACCATGTGCTAAAGACTGCAATGTCAATGATGGCATATGGCATGTTTTACACATGGTAATCTCTGGTAATAAGTGAACATAGCAATTACTTGTAAACCAGTGGTAGAATTATTACCTGGGGCTTCACAGAAACACTGAAAAACATGATAATTTCAAGCTAATATAGAGAGGAAGAGAATGCTATGAGAACATAAACATAGAGCACAAATATGTTGCCATTTATATAGTGAAGTAGTATATTCCACATCATGTATACAGCAGCCACCAAATTTGAGAATATTTAGATCACCCCAGGAAGGAGACACTGCTGTTTTGAAGCCATCCATATCTATAAAAAATTCACATTAAAAAAGCTCCGGGATTGCCCTTACAAATTTTGACCTTTTGTAACAAATCTGGGATCAAGAATCTCAATGGCCGTTCATCTGAGTCACTTAAAGCATTTTTGTTATCCAGAGCTTATATTTCTTTATATACAGATATACAAGAGAAGGTCCAATTAGACTTGCATCAGATAGACGCTTGCTAAGGTTAAGATAAGCTTCGACATCCCCTGATTGTTGGATCCTTTTTCTCAGTCCCTGCAGAACAGCTACCCTGTCTAAATACTCCGGATACAAACCCAAATCAAGCATTTTAATCAGTGTTTCTGCAGCATCATTGAAATGTCCTCCTTTAATGTAACCTCTTAACAACCAGGATAAAGTTTTCTTCTTACACAGAGAGTTCATAACATCAACTCTCGTAAGCAACCGTGAAATAGCACCAGCCTCTTTTTGCAAAGCACAGATAGCCAAAACAATGTCATAAAGATCTCCATCGGCTTCTTTACCCAGAAGCTTCATTTCCCACAACTTTCTTTCAGCTTCAAGTCCACGACCAGCACAAATATACATTGCAAGAAGCCTCTCATGAACCACCCCATTAAATGAAGCACCTCCCTCTTGAATTGCCCAACTAGACAGGCGTGCCCCATCAGCTAGAAGATCTGATTGATAGTTTTCAGTAAGTCCTACATTTTCTGCATCAAGTTCAGCTATCAAACCATTCCTTGCATAACCTTTCAATTTCCGTAAAGCCTTTGCAAATTCATTTAGCTCTTTAACCACAGCTGTCATTGCAATAAGGTAGCTGTAGACCTCTGGCTTCAATCCAGATTCTCTAAGATGGATCACCATATTGACTGCCCCCCTGTAGTTTCCTTCAACCTGACAGTATAGACTTCAAGTCGTTATTCACATAAAAATTCAACGAACCATTATATCTTTGAAAATACACAATAAGATTGGAATAATTTGCTTAGCAATAAGTTTCTTAAGAATTGTGAAGTACTTGACCAATGTAATACAGTAAGAAACTAATACTAACAACATTCTTTGATGAATAATTTGTAATAACAAACAGACACTTGTGTAACAGTCACAAAGTTGAAACACAAATTTCAAATGTGCATCAAAATACATATCTATCATTTTGTTAGAAAGTAAAAAAGTACAAATACTTAGATATAAATTCATATTACAAGAGATAAAAACAACTTCAACAAAGTCAAAGAGACGACAACGACAAATTGAAATAGCAAACATATTATAACAAATTCAAGCAATAATTAGGCAAGGAAATTCAACTCAACCAATCAAATTCTAGCAATGTAACTGATGAAGAAAAGCGGGGCTCTGAGATGATGATCATGATCAATGTTAAAGATTCTGTTGCACATAAAGAAACAAACTCGAATTTTCAACAAAAGAAAACAAAACTCAATGGCCAGAATACAGATAACTAAATTAGACAAAGGGCTTACCATCATCTTCCACGCAAGATATCCAGTTGGGCCTCCTTTCTGTCCTTCTCCATTGTCCTCAGCATAACTAATTCCCCGTCTCAAGATCTCTTTCACAAACGAAATTGCTGCCTCCTTCTTCCCCACTTCCAGATACAATGAAATCACCTTCTCAATCATACTAAACCCTGGCTTCAGCCCAACACAGTCCATGTCCACAAGAAGGTCAATCACATCCCCAACCTCACGCTCCTCATCAATCAACTTCTTAACCCAACTACACATTATTGAAACCATAAGCTCCATCGTTTCTTTATCAACTCGGTTCTCTTTTTTAAGCCACTCAAAAACCTCAAGTGCACACCATGAGTCTCTCCCCTCCTGAGAGAAGTACACTAGCACTAACTGCAATTCTCTGGCTGATAAACGATCATTCATTTCCTCTAATATATCTGAGGGCTCCCTTGTCATTCTTTCTAGCTCTTCAATTGCAACAAAAAACTCTTCACTCATTTCTTCTTCATCATCACTTGTTACAAATTGGTCCAATTCGACTGATTTAAGCAACCTCAATTCTCGAAGTTTACTCAGCTTAGTGACTATAAAACAAGGATTATGGTGGTTCTTGATTCTTGTAGAAATTCTTGAAGAGGGCTTTATTGAAAAACTAAGATGAACGTAAGGAGCAAGAACTTTATACCGATGAATCGAAAAAGGAGAAAATGCAAAACCCAGTTCAGTAAATGAAGCCATCTCCTATGCTCTGATTGTAAACCAAATTCCCAATTCAAAGAAAGGAAAAAAAAGTGGAAACACAGTGTTTGGTTGCTGAGAAACTTCAAGGAAAAGAAAGAAAAAAAAATCCTGAATCTTTAAACCTAAACTCACGCAAACAGAGTCAAAATTCTAATCTTTAACTTCCAATAAAGCAAAGCTTTTATCTTTTCTCAAGTACTCTATATCAAAACTCAAAATCTAACCCTTTTCTTTTCTTTTCCTACGACTTCTCAGCGCCCAAACAGAAATTTAAAGTTTCAGGTTTTGAGAAAATAAACCCCAAACCAACTTGAACAAAGAACCCGTATTGAAAATAAAGAATAGAAGAAAGTGAAACTGACCGATTCTTGAAGTGAAACACAAGACAAAACTTTTTGTGTGATGCTCAATATCCGAAATAAATGGTTAGGATTAGGCAGTTTTGGTTCATATCAAAGGTCGTGCAATTTGCCATAGACAAAACAGTGTACTCTTTGCGAGAATGTTTTAAACGAGTTGAGACGTGTCCAAATGAAGACTACTCACCGAACTCACAATCAGCCCGTACTGACTACTGACTGACACTGCTTATTTATTTATTTATTTTTTGCTTAATTAAAAGAATTAAAAATTCCTCATCTTTGTTTGTTTACACTTTACCCCCACAAGTCTTCTACTTCATCATTAATATTCTATGAATGACTTTTTCTAAAGAATTTGGAAACGTTTTCTTTGTTTTAAAAAAACAAAACATATAATATTCAATTGCCATTATCAATTTGATGCTGGTTTTTGTATTGTGGTAGACCATTACAATCATACATTCCAAATCTTTCAAAACTCCATCTTTATACTATTTTGTATGATATTATCGTGTTATTTAATCATCTCGTTTCACCATTTACACGTTAATGGCATTTGGGATAACATAATAATATTTCCGTTCTATCGAAGATTTTCTTTGTGAAAACCACATCAAATAATAAGGGGAATAAGTAGTACCAACTAATATATTTGTATTTTGGAAAGAGCGAACGACTTTTTCCCACCCAAGGTTTGCCTTCATGACATTTTTTCACTCAAAAAGTTTCAAAATACCACTTTCTTACCTAAAGTTTATATTTTGTTTACTATCTAGAATACACTTTCTGATCCGATGGCCAACAGAGAGAAAAATCAATCCAGGCTATGTGGAGCTTTTGAATAGGGAATGTTAGTGAGTCTTTTGGTAGTGACAAATTGGATTTTGGTGGTCGGGATCGGTCAAAATCTGACTTAGGAGTGGCGACTATGCGTTACACAAATCGCTCGATTATTGGCGATTGTCGGGAGCAAGGTTTGAGGGGTTTTGGTGAGTGATGATTAAGGAAGAGAATGATGGTGACAGGGGCAGATCCAGCCCACTTTTTGCCCACCCTCAAATTTTTTTTTAAATACTAATAATTATTTTTTTGAATTTTGGTCACCCCTAAAAAAATTTTCTGGATCTGCTATTGGATGGTGGTGTGGGGTCGCAAATGTCTGAATCGGCTAGTGATTGGTCGAACTATAAACTTTGGGTGGAAATTGGTATTTTGAAACTTTTTTTTTTTTCGTGCGAAAGTGTCATTGAGGCAACCTTGGGTGGGAAAAACTCATTTACTTTTTTGGAAAAGAGTATGCTATAGCCACCGACGGTAGTGCATCGAATTTGTACACCCAATGACGTGACAAACCTGACTTGATTAATTTAGTTTAAAATTCATCAACGGTTAGGATTTTGCTATGTCATTCGATCCTAAATTCGGTGCACTACCGTCGGTGACTGTATTATTTTCCTTTGAAAAATTGGTGAGTGTTTTTGGCTATGAACAATATCTAAGAGGAGTTTACATACTCAATTGGACCAGGCCTTTCTTTGTGGCTCCGTAATCGACTGCTGAGACTAAATTACGGGCCTTTCTTTGTGGTCATCTGAGCCCAAAACTAACCTCTTTTCCTGCCCATGTTAAATGCTGGCCTAGGCCAGGCCCATGTATGTATGTACCTATGTATGTATGTATGTATGAGTAACAAGCATACACATATATCATGCATTAACATGATGTATTGATCATGCAATGATAATATATTCTATAGATGATGTGGGCAAAAAATATAAAATGGAGGAGAGAAGGATATCAAGTGTGACAGATAGAAAAAGGACAAACATGCTCATTCTTGGAATAGTGGTTTGATCCGCATAAATAGGGTTACGTATTCTCATGCAATAATATATTAATTACATTTGTTTTGGTGGAATTAATTAAAGGCCAAGAGTTGACCTTATAATATTCGACCTTCTCAATTCTCAATCACCCACAACAAAACAAACCATTTAGGTTACAAAATTCTTCTTCACATGCAAGGACTTGACACACCACACCCCCTTTGATAACTACAAATGGCCTAATTCTCTCTACTCTTGGCTCACCATATATAATTTTATTTGCATTATTAAAGTAATTATTTATTTTTTAAAAATATTGATAACTATCAAGGATCGACAACCTCTTTCTTTGATAAGGATGATCGGTCACTATCTGTTATGGTTTATATGTGTAGGGTTAGGATTAGGAGCTGAACGAGTATTTCTTCGGTAAAGACTTTAATAAATCAAATTTCTTGTTTAGATGACATACTCAAAACTTAATAAATTGTTATTCTTTGAATGATAAATCCATTAAGCTTCTTTATTTCTTTAAAAAACTCGTATGAATATCAGATACAGAAGCAACAAGATCTCTATGCCAATTTAATAGTTCTATACCATGAATCCTGAATGGAACTAATTAATTAACTCTTTGTACTTAATTTTCTTATATAAGAATTAATGTAGTCATATAGTGAATCTGTTGTATATGGATCATACTTTGCATGACCTTAACGGATTATTGGCTTACACTGAAGCATTCTTCGGTGAGTGGACGAAGGCGAGGGGCCAACGCCCCCTTTACGGTAAGTCCAATTAGTAATTAGTAATTAGGTTTAGAATTAATTTACAAATATTTGGGTCTGAGTTGAGTTAGATCAAGTAAGCGCAAATGGGGTTAGGTTTACCATTATATATATTTTATAATAATGAAAAACCTAAAATGAGAAATAGAGAGTAAGCGTGGACTGTCGATACTTTAAGATGATTGTATTATGTAGATTTCTGAAACTCAATAAAATTACTCTATTTGAATGTTAGACGTAGTTTCTTTATTGGAATGAATTAGGGTAAATCAATTGTCTTCTCTTTACTTTTCTGCTTTATTATTGTGTGTGTTTTTGCTATGGTTTCAACAGAATCCACTTTGAAATTGAACTGAAATTATTTGTGAGACTTGAGATTGAGAGAGAGAGATCATCGTTTTAAGATTTATTTAGCCCTCTATGAGCTCTCCATATAATTTTATAGTGATGATCATACAACAAAAAAGGTTTTTAGCTACGAATTTTTTTGTTGCTAAAAACCTAGAAATTGTTGTGGTATACGTTTAGCGACGAAAAAAAATTGTCGCTATGATCGTCGCGGTAGGTATGTCGCGCTTGATTTTAGGTGACAATTTGTTAAAATTCGTCGCTAAATTTGGCGACAAACCAAAAAATTGTCGCCTATATCATTTTCGTCGCTAAAACTAATTACTGGTGAAATATTAAATGTCGTCACCTAAAGTTAATAGCGGCGTACTTTCTATTGTGTAACCTACACTATATAGTGACGAGATGTGTGTTTGTGCCGCCTAACGTACACCACAACAAAATGTAAATTTTCTGATTCGCTGCTGGCTAATATTATCAAACAGTCCAACAGATAATAAGCTTCACATAATCACATTATATATGGTATTACTTATTTCTCAAGCACTAATTAATTAACTGACGATGAACTGAGGACAAGCACGAGAAAGCCTGATGATCAGGTCAAATATAATAAATTTAATACATGTTAAGATTCCTATATATATGTATATGCATGTCATGGTATTCTATAATCGAGAACACTTGCATTGAGCATCTATGATATATTTGTGTAATATGCTCTCTCTATGATATATTTCTGTCAATTTTTTTTGATCTACTTGGTCTTCGATCGAGGATGGAATTTGTCATAAACAATACTAAATAATTTTTGCTATTTAAGTCATCTTATTGTAGAATTAAAATCTCAAATGTCGCAATCCTTCATGATATCATCTTTAGCAACTCAGTTTGTATTATTTTAATATATTTACATCTAGATTTTTTCAGCCACAATTTGTGTATATATAATGCTTAGTTTTTTTATCACTGTCTTGTACATCAAGTACTTCAATGCTATACAGGATTTTTTTCATGGATGATGCAGAAACACTTCAAAAATGTTTCAAATTTTGAGCTACTTAGCTTGTCTTTTGCCACAGGAATCTCTATATATACCTTTGAGGACTAAAGGCGTCCAGTGTTAGTATATTTTGTTAATTTATTCTTGATCTTCTCTTGTTGGTGTAATCCTTTTGACAGTACATATATATGTTGGAGAGTAAGCTTCATAATTTATTTTAAAACTTGAGAACAAGAGTCTACGAGATTATTATCTGCTGTATGGCACAGAACAACCGGCTCGAATCATATAGAACATCGTGAATTTTTGTGCTTACAGAGAATCAAAAGAGTGACGTCCGTAGGATAAGGAAAGAGCATTGAATCCAACGCATGTCAGGAAAAAATTATTAGATATATAAATAAAGTCCACAAGAGGTTGAAAGGAATCTCTGAGAAGGCCAAAAAAAAGTTTTATAATATAATATATATATTAGGTGTGTGTTCATATGGGGAAGAGGCAAAGAGACAAATCCGTGAGCGCCGACAGCAAGAATCATCAGCACAGTCTTCCCCACGCCTCGCCCAATCAATATATCTTCCATTCACATTTCTAGGTTTCATCTAATTCAGTTTTTGTGTTCCCCAGTTTCCCAAATAGTGCCCAGGAAAGGAAATAACGAGTTCATTTGAAAACTTATTGGTGGGTTTAAATTTTCATTTGAAGTTTGGGAAGAAAAAATTGTGGGAATTACTTAAGAGTTCTTGAGTTTGAATCACAACGACCACTAATAAGAGATAATTATTAGAGATTTATCTGACCATTAACTTTAGGGTCTCAGAGGATTCGTTAAGATGCGTGTAAACTGATTTAGACATCCCGACACAAAAAAAAAATAAAAATTGTGGGAACGTTAATTATAATCTTATTGACGTATTAGTTGGCTCATTAAAGTTACATGTAGTATATATGTTTTTATATCCAGGAGCTTGGCAATGTCTGGGTGTTGTATTGCTCTTGGATTTATCATTTTGTGCATGTTTTGCCTTTTCGCTAACTTAATTATAATTATTTCAAACCTCTCCACCACCCCAATTAAGTAATTATTAAACAACTAGTTAGTGACTCATTCATGCATGTTATCAAATGTATATATGTGTACATGCATCCATATACATCCTTGGATATTGGTGTATCTCAAATTCTCCCATTTATCACTGAATCATCATCTGTTGTTAAAATTTTTTATTCAATATTTCAAACCATGTGCTATGACTTTTAAGAGTTAGGGCAATTGTCATTTGGCATGAGCTTATCTTCTTTAGTTGTGGAAAATTTTGCTCTATATGAACCCTTTGGAGCTATGTAAGCATTTTTGTCTTTGAGGTTAAAGAGGGAGAAAGAAAAGACAGGGAAGGAATTATCAACATCCTGCACAAATCCATGATGTTTAAGTATTGTTTATTAGAGTCAATCACTTCTAATGAAGCGTATCATTTTCTTTCTTAAACCTTTCAGACCTAGAAAAAAGAGACATGAGAGAAAGTTTGCTTAAGGATGATGGCTTGAAGATGAATTTTCTGGACAGAGATGAGCTCGATGACGAAGGCGAAGACGAGAGCAAGACTAAAATTAGTACAAGCTCAAACAACAGTGTAGTTGAAGAAGGTGATCAAAAGAAGACCAGCAGCTCTAGTACTGGGGTGCGCCCATATGCAAGATCCAGGGTGCCGAGGCTTAGATGGACACCTGAGCTTCATCTTTGTTTTGTTCAAGCTATAGAGAGACTAGGAGGTCAAGAAAGTAAGATAAACACTTTTTACTTTTTTCTAGTAAATCATTTGTTCAGTTTGTTAAATTTGCTGGTTCATGTTTTCTAAACTTGATTTATTTTTGGTGTAGGAGCAACCCCTAAACTGGTTTTGCAACTAATGAACGTCAAGGGACTTAGTATTGCTCATGTCAAGAGTCATTTGCAGGCAAGATTAACCTCTCTTAATTCTGAACTCCTTTTTTTTTTTTCTTTCTTTCTTCTTTTTTTTTTTTTTTTTAAATAATCTTAATTTTAATCGTAATTTTTGGTATATGGGAATAGATGCACCGGAGCAAGAAGATTGATGACCAGGGTAGAGGTAAACACAGCTACACAATCATGGAATTTGAAAATTAGGGTTTATCTGGTCGTCTAGAAGTGTCTCTAATCTTTGGAAATGCTGTCTTTCATAAACAGTGAACTCTAGAGGGCATATTATGGGGACTGATCATCCAGATCAATTTTCTCACAATCTTTGGCACTATCCCATGCTTCAGAATATCGATCAAAGGGTCAGACGTTCCAATAACATCAGGTAATGAATTATGAAACTATATGAATATGAATTCTTGTTTCATCAACTTCAGCATATTAAACACTCTGGATAGCGCTTAAACATCATTCAATTTATCTCTGATCTCTCTATGAACTAATGTTCATGTGGCATAGTGATGATGCTTCTTGGAATGGCCAAGGGAACTGGTTGCTCAGGCCACATATGACTACTGAAATGTATATTAGAAGAGGAGGTAATTGCTTTCAAGGCATGAATATCTCTGGAGGTGTTGGTTCAAACCAAGTAAGGAATGAAGCTCTCTACATTAATGAAAATTTTCCGTTCACTGAACCAAGCATCAGGAGAACACGGGGACTCCCTGAAGATTTTCAATTATCGTACGATCGCAACTTCATCCACACAAGGTCGAGCATATGCAACGGGATAGAAGAAAGAATAAAATGCTTTAACTATCCCATTACTAGCTCAGACACAAAGTGGAGAACTAAGGGAGAAGATGAGAAAAACACAACAAAACGAATAGCACAAAATCATCAAGATGATCTTGATTTGAGCCTTTCACTGGGCTCAAAATTAAGAGAAGATAAGGGAAAGCTGTACTGGGGTGAAGAAGAAGTGGAAAACAATTTGCATCTTTCTTTGTCTTCCCCACCTTCAAAGAGGGAAGTGTTTTCTACAAATCTGAGAAAGTGTGGGAGATTGAAAGAAGACTGTGATACCATAAATCCAAAATTGGCGAGTACTCTGGATCTGACTATATGAATTACAGAATTCTTAGTGAGATCTTGTTGGTACTTGTACAATTAAGAGGATAATCTTAAGATCATTGTTATGTAGTGGGAATGGGAGGTAAAATCAATAACTCTATGATCCCTTTCTCTTTTGAAATTAAACCATCTTTTAATTAGTTAAAATATGTTCATCTCACTCTCAACTCTTGCTTGAGCTTTCCTTCACTTGATTTATACTGCCAACCCATATCCTCGAATTTTGAACTAACTGTTTGTTTTTTCATGGAAAGTCTATTTCTATTGAATAAGACATAACTACCATATAGCTATTATATGTTATAATGTCCAGCCAATCGATCTCACTCTCATTTTTCTCATAAATCTATATTTTAGGAGTTTCAAAGTTGATAATTGATCGAGAGAGTTATATATATATTATTATCTATTATTGGTAAGCGAGTAGTGATCATTGGGAAAAAAAACTATAGCTTGTAATTTCTAGAATACCAACAACAGTAGCATATCTATTCCCAAGAATGAAGCTATATAGCTCTTGCTTAAAAACCTAAACTACTGGAAATGTACAAGATTTTTAATTCTCCAATTACACGTTCAATCGATCAAAAGGAAATACATATTTATAATTTTGTTCTGTTCTCTTTGCTTATTGATTTTCTCATTAGATTCATATGCCTATAGCTAGCCAAGTCGTAACTAAGTCAAAATGAAAGAAAATGAACGATCTATTGTTTGATTCAAAAGCCTAGATTTTTTGGTGGCTCAAAGAAACTTAAGGTTCCCAATACAAGACAGGCTCCGAAATATATATATAATTAATTAATAATCCTATGTTATATATTAAACTTTTTCATGCACCAGACAACACAGTCCAGGACCCAAAACACAGCAGACATACTACATACTGTTTAGATCATTATTCATGCATGCAGAACACTAAACATGCAACAAGCAACTGATCGAAAAGGAAATTAAACATAAGGGTTTACGCCGCAAGAGAATTTTAAACCTTAATGATTTTGATGGATGATACGATCAACCCATTAAGAGGATTAAAAATTTTGGCCGACATTCAAGCTATGGATCTGCTCTATTCCACCCAAGTTTAAGTTGATATCCTCTTTCGGTGGAGGCTGAGGTTGACTCGGCATCTGCACCGGCAGTCCAAGTTCCCAACCAGGCATCATCAGCATCTGTCCAGAGTTTTGCGGTTGCATCAGGTTCATGTTAAGCCAGTCAACCCCTGTTGTTTCGGCTGCTAGTTTCTTCAATTTGAGTTGTTTCACCCCATTCATTTCTTCTGTATTCTCTCCATATTGGCCTACCAAAAATATATAATAATTTGAGATTACATTAAAAGTGCACGTCATAAATTACGTAAGCACGTAATCCATATAGTCTGATAACACGGTGACGTATTATGAACTTAGAATCTAGATTGAAGAGCCATTAATTTCAAGTCTAGGTTAAAACATGCATGCAAGAGGACAAAGAAAATTAAGTAACGGTTGGAAGAAGCCACTCTTTTCTTTGCCACGTGGCTTACTACAAAGTTTGACTCTTTGACCATATGAAATTTCCTTGAGGCCATCGCCCATCAGTTACATGAGGTATCCACTACAACTACCATTTGATAGAAGAATCCTAGAAACAATTAATAAACCAAAGTTTATTCTCTCAATTTTGGCTTAATTTCTTTACAATATAAATTAAATTTTACTTGATTTTATTTTACAAATGTAATTATATTTCTTCTTTTCAATTTTTTTACATACTTGATCACTATTTTTTTTATTTTTTATTTTCGGCCGACAACAAATTGATCTAATTTTAATTTAAAATTTAGTTTCTTTACTTATTTCTTAATTACTACACTAGAATACTTGTCCCATCTAATTAGGGTAAATTTTTGCATTTAAATTTAATATACATGAAATAAACTACTTTTTGAACTACAAAAAACGCGCGTGAAACCGTTATTATTTAAACTAAAAATCCCATTAAATTCATTCATGGACGGTGATCACGTCGACTTTTTAATCATATGTATAATAAAAGAGAAGTAAATTAACAAATTCATGAATTGCATAGAAAAATTAAGAGAACTAAAGAATTAATTATCTAAACCCTAAAATTACCCCCAGAAAAAAAAAAAAAAAAATCTAAGGAAGAGAGCAAATTAAGCTAATTGTTCAAAGGATTGATCAAGAAATTGGCATAACCTAGATGGATAATTAGTATGATGAACTGAATAATTAATGATAGATTTACCTTGGTTTGAGTTTATAAAAAACATCGTTTCTAGTCCAGATCGATTTATGCCGGGCATGGCCATTTCATTCATCCCCGCAGACTGCCAAAAGGGCATCCTATTTTGTGCTTTCATTCTCTCCTGCAGTTGAGTCAGGTGAAGTTGCCTCAGTCTGGTAACTTCTGCTTTGTTCTCTTCAATTTCAACTGAAAAAAAAAAACAGTTTATCATTTGATTTTGAGACCACACACACACATACAAAAGAGTGAGTCTTTAATTCAATTGTTGATTACCATCTCTGAGCATGTTGTTGTTTCTGTAAGTGGCCATACATTGATTCAATCTCTCTTGCTCTATTTCTAACCTTCGTTGATGGTTTTTATAAATTTCCACCTGCGGATTGAGCACGCATATCTGAGCCTGTGAATATAAAATAGAAAGAGATGAAGTTAACATGGTTAATAATTTAAAACTTTAATAGATTCAATAAAATCTATAATTATAGACAAAGGTATATATGGTTACCTCTAAAAATTTCACCTTCCTTTCCATATCAGTAAGGTACTGAAGCTTCCTCAATCTAGATTTCTGGGCAGAGACCCGGTTTGAAATAATCCTTCAAAAACAAAACATGAAATGAAAATTCTTGAATATTCATTAAGACTTACATAACATCACAACTTTTTTACGTGAAAATCAAAGAAAGAGAGATAACAAGGGGTGAATTATCACCTTCTAAGCCTCTTTGGGTCCATGTTAGGGTCAATGTTACGATACAAGCGAGTGAGGGCAGCACTCCCTGGCTGAGTTTTTTTGGCAGAATTAATATTATCACCACTAGGCATCGGATTCTTATCAGACGGTGGAGATGGGTTCTGGCTTTTTTTGTAATTAAGATCATTTACCATTGGTAAAATAGTAGTTTTAGGATCAAAATGTGAAAAATAGGACTTAGTGCCACCACTGCTACTGGCCCCACTGCCACCATGGTTCATGAAGTAGGGTTTTTTCCAAACTTGAAATGAACCAGGAGTTGAAGCCATCACAGAAAAGGGAGAACTTTTACTGGCAGTCCTTTTAGGGCAGCATGGTGGCAATCCCTTCTCATTATATTGTAATTTGTTCATGCCTTCCATGTATTTATCACCTGCAAAATAGGAAAAAATAAGCGAGGCACTACTAAAAGTACCAAAGAAAAACTGAAAACCTTACCAAGAAAAAGATAATACTAACCCTAAAATGCTGTAATATTAATGGAAATAACCTGAGTTTAATATGCTTGTTTAGACCTATATTTATACAGAGAATCACAGTCAAATTTCTTAAATATGAACTGCATCTGGGCAAGGATTATATCTTTAAAACGACATTATTTTATCAAACCCCAGCTTGAATCACAAAATTACCATTTCAAATTCATGCTTATCTCTTGAACAAGGTAATTAAGACAAACTACTATATGGGAAAAATGATAGCTGTCGCTTATTCAATGTAAAATTTAATTGAATGCACGAGAAAGACACAAGAGTCTTTAAACTGAATATTAGCCATCTATGGAACCTTAATCATGATGGTACAGTCAATGAGTCAGCTTAATTGTGCCACGTGGACTGCCTCACCACACTCTTAATTAATTGATTTACTCTTAAGGGCATCTACACTAATGAAGTGTCATACATTTTTACTCTTATAAGTTAATTTCTATCAATGATCCATAAAAATAAGAACCAAAAGAAAAAAAATCTTCAAGGAAGTATGTCTACTCCATAAATACAAAAGTAAAAGATGTTGTATATTATTATGGTTAATACATATGTTTAATTAAATTAATCTACAATCAGATCGATTAATATGTCATTTTAGTTACGTATTTTGTCGATTAGTATTACTATTAATGATTTGATGAAATATGCTTCAATTAAAAACTTTGTTCCCAGTCTAGTGTGCAAACACAATTAATGAATGATAATATCTGTGTCCCCTTTTGATGGCATCATTTTTTTTTTTTTTTTTTTTTTTTTTTGTACTATACTTTATATATTTTCTTTATGGTGTTGATCAAATATTGAGAAAGGAGAATTGAAGATTTGAGTTAGAGGTACCTTCAAATCTTTTATGTTTTTGAGGGTTTTTACTTTCTTCGAAAAACATTGTCAAGTATGTCATGTAGTGTGTATTAGATCGAATAATGTTTCAATTAATATTGTGAAATTAATTGTTGCTGCATTTGGTTTTTGAGCAAATTTAGGGAACAATAAATGTGTATATAAACTATAAAGGCGAGAGGCAATTGGATTGGAGAGATATATAAGATTAAACTGAAGAGAACGAACAATAGCAATTAATATTCAATGGCAATGTCGAAGGAAACTCATCACTTTATTAATCTCCTTTCTGTAAGGCACTCTAAAGAGAGCGAACAATAGCAATTAAGAGACAAAATCAACGAAAGCCCACAACCTTACAGAAAAGAAAAAGAAAGATAAAATGGGAGATATATATATATCTCAAGAGCAAGTACTAGATTATGCTAGAAAAATATTATTGAACTTATGAAGATTGAGAGGGTTCGATCCTTCAAATCTGTCCCGGTGCAAATGGATTCATGTTCTGGTTAAACATCTGTGGCGACATTGAAGAATGAGGTTCCTGGAATAGATTAAATTCTAGTGTGCAATTCTGATCTGCAGGTTTGGCTTTGACCAGTCCTGCAGCCTCTTCTTGCTGTTTGAAGAGCTGCTTGAATATCTCACTCTCCCCCTTCAGTTCCTCATATTGAGCTGCATAAATAATTATAAATAAATGTATCATTGTTTCATTTCTTTAATGGCAGTCTTAATACGTGTTAAAGAGTGCTCACATATTAAATTAACATGCAAGAAGCCAAATTTTTTAATTAAAAATTCATATTTTTATAGTCTTAGCATATGGAAGAGAATTAACCTTCTTTGAATGTACATTCATTGGATATGGCATTAAGTTTTTCCTTCATAAAAACATTTTCTGCTCGAAGCAACGAGTTCTGACGACGAAAATATTTGATCCTGGGAGAAGTAATCACTACTTCTGCCTTCACAGACAATGATTAAAATTAATTAAGAGAGCTTCTGGTGAAAAGATAGATCGATGTTGGTTTAATTTGGTTACCTGGAGAGCCTTCACTTCTGTTTCGAGTTGCAGGATATAATGGAGCTGCTTAAGTCTATATTTCTGCGAATATTGCCTGCTTGCAAGAATTCTGTGTCATAAAGAAAGTAAAATGAGTCAAGAAAATAAGGAAAAAAAACATTGAAGAAAATATTACACGAATATAATCATGCATGAATTATAAAATGAAAATTCATGCACTTTATTTAATATATATCCTAAAATGTCGAAACCATCTATAGAAACACTGCTGAAAAAATTGAAAAAATGGTAGATGAGGCGCAGGTTGAGCAAAATCATGCGGCCTCGTTTGAAAATTTGAAAAAAAAAAATTGGTTAATCTAGACAAAAGTGAAAGGTAAATTAATCCACCGTTTCTGCTTCTTGTCTTGGAGATCAGCAGCCAGAGTGGTTGACAGATTCTCAGAGGACGTTATTTCTCTGTTAGCGCCGCCGTTATTCCCACTAATGGATAGTGAAATTGGGAGAGGAGGCAGCCCATGGACACCTCTCTTATAAGCACCCTCCATTTTTTTTTCTTTTCTCCTGCAAAAAGAGAAATGAATCACACACAAACTCATTCATAAACATTATAAAACTTGTATTAATCCCTTTTTGTTAGTATTATACGTACTAACACTGACGACAGATCGAGGAAGAAATGAGAATGGAGAAGAGCAAGTGATGACTTCGTTCAACTCAACTCCCTCATTTTATAGAAGGAAAATTCTACCATCCATGCATTTGGAGACTCTTGTATATAATTCCATATATGGCGAAGCCTGACAAATGCCAATCTCTAAATGTGTACATATTATTTTGTATATGACAATACCCAAACTATCCAAGAATGCATGGCGAAGATTGATTTTGGCGTATTTTTATGGGGATTTTTTAGTCTTAATAGTTAATACTAATCCTAATTTTACTATTCTTATAGAGATTTATTCATGTAAGTGGAGCATTAAACGTGATTAACAGCATTCAATTTAGAATTTGTCAGTTATAGAATGAAAATAATGCAGTAGGAAAGCGTCATTATCCTGCATTCTGGAAACTCAAATGGGAAGATATGAAATGTATTTGAGTTCTGTAACTATCCATAATGCTGGAATTGACAACCATTCCAACAATAAGGGGTTCGTCTATAAGGGGCGACGCAAATGGGGTTCCCCTTAGTGGTTTTGACTTATACCATAAATAGCCGTTGTAGGATTTGTTTTAAGGAATAAAACTCTTAAACAGGGTTTGGTTTAGCAATACGAATCCTAGTAGTTTAAAGTTTTTCTTTATAAACCTAATATTGAAATAATATTGGTTTTATTGGGCATAGCTCGGAATTAGATGAATCAAGATAAATTACGTGTGTTATTTTTCTTTACTATTTCGTTATTTGTATGTAATTAATTTTAGTTTGATTCAAATTAAATACTCTCTAACTCGTTTCACATAAATCGTTCCATATATGTTTCTTAATTATTAAACAAATGTGTTTTATAATCTTCATTAATTCCACAATGTATATATATATATCACTAACTATGTGGTTTTGTAAAGGATGCTGCGGATTTCCTACTCCAAATTATTGAAATGAAATTAAAGTTTGGGTAATACATGGTAACTTAATTTCTTGTAATTACTGTCGATGCCTCTAGTAAACCAAAGTTATCGTTTAATAGCTATTTTGATTCAATCTCTACTATACAAAACAAAAATTGAAGATTTACTACGGATTGGAAGTATGGATCTAATTAAAAAAAAAAAAAAATTATGTTTCGCAATTTCATAATCCAAAATTTGAAATCCCTACCCTCACCAAGAAATAGAATTGACTAATCTTAAAGCAAAAGGTCGAGAAACTCAACACCACTATTCTTGAACAACTCAAAGCCGAGCCTTTCCTTCGCACTATTATGGATATGAAACCCAATGGATTCCAACCATAGCACCCAATGGATTTCAACCATAGCACGTGCTTTCATAAAATCGTACAATTCTCTCAACCTAAATCAAGCAGGTTTTATATGAAAAAATGATATTCAATATGGGTATAAGAAGCAGTATTCTTATATATATATATATATATATATAAAAGAAAAAAAAAATAGAGAAATCAGAACATATAAGAAAAATGTGATACAATAATATGGAGTTTACAATGTGCGTATACCAAAAAATTCGGTTATTCAGCAAGATTTAGGTATGTAGATAAATGTTAAACATGATTCATTGGTAAAATTGATTGTTTAGTTTAGTTTATTATAAACAATTAGTTTAATATGATACAATTTTTTTACATAAATTTGTAACACGTTTTCTTAACCTTTGATTTTGGGTTTGAATCAAAAGTTAAGAGTTAGTTATTTTTTATGTTAATTAAGTAATTTCTAAGTAATTAGATTACCATAAATAAATGGTTAAAGAATTTGTCATAAATTTGTATAAAAAAAAAAAAAAATGTGTTGCAATTATAACTTGACCTTATTATAAATATTGTGTAATCAATAATTAATTAAAGATATTGAGGTAACATTATCAATTTTACTGGGTTATTAAGATGGTTTTGACAAATTGGATGTAATGTGGATAAACGTATGGTCTTAAGTTTGATCTCCATTTGAGCGGAACATAATGATAATCGTATTGACAAAGGTGTTCAGATCAGCTTATATGCACCTTGATTAATCTTCAGAGGAAATTATCTCACAGCAATAGTGATGGCAATGGGCCGGGCCAGGATCGGGTATCTCTTGGCCCAGGCCCAAGCCCAACCTCATGACAAAGGCCCAAGTGCGGCCCGAACTCATCATGAGTATGACAGATAAAGCCCAAGCTCGGCCCGACAAGCTTTTTGTAACCTTAGGCCTGACCCAAACCTGCCCATTTTTATAATGCGAATTTTTAAATATTAATAAATTTCAATTTTTTTTATATTTTTAATTCTAGAAACAATTTTTAGATATTAATTTATCTTTTAATACTCACCAAATATATAAATAATTTTCCATAAAGTGCATCCATCCATCCATGTAGGGTTTGGGAAAAATGGGTATATATATATGTAGGATAATCTTGTAATTAAATATATAGTATAAAGGTAATTTAGTATAATTAATATTAAAATTGTCGGGCCGGGCTGGAAGACATACCCAAACCTGGCTCGTACCTGAGGTTGGGCCTTAAAATCAGACTCAGGCCCAAGCCCAAGTCCACGAACATCGGATAAAGCTCAACCTTTTCAGGACGGGCCGGTTCGGGTACCTAGAAACCTAGTTAGTAAAAATGCGTATTATACGCGAATTATAAGGACAGCCGTATAATTCGCGTATAAAACTCATGTATACGTATTTTGTAAAATCTGTCGTATAATTCGCGTATAATAAGGTTTCTCGTATAATTCGCGAATTTTTGAAATAAAAAAAAAATAAAATCTCACACCCCCAAAACGACGTCGTTTTGGTGGGTTTATACAAAAAATTAAAACAGATCTGGTTCAGTCCTTCTTCTTCAGTTCTTTGGTAGTGAGCAATGCGCCCCAAACAACTATCAAATTCACCTTGAAAATGAACAAATCCATGAAAACATTAAACTAATAGTGAGAGAGGCCATGAAAACATTAAACTAATAGTGAGAGAGGGAAAACAAGAATGAAGAGAAAGAAGAAAATAAATTAGAAGAGGTGGCCCTGCTGGAGTTCGTAGTGGTTTCGAAAGATGATGAAGGTGGGGTGCTAGGGTTGTTAGATTTTGGGGATGAGGGAAGGTGCGTAGCAGGTGTGAATTATGAAAGAATATTGGGGGTGGAGGATTTTCTGGCGGTGGGGTGTGGGAGAAGGATAAAAGGGGTTGGGGCAATTTTTTTTTTTTTATATTTTTTTAAAAAAAATTTTTCTTAATTATTAAAAATGTTTATTTATTAATTTATACATTTTATTTTATTTTATTTTTATAAAACTTGACTTTTCTTTTATTTAATAACCTGATTTTTAATAAAAATATAATTTTTAATAGAAATTGAAGATAAGAGTTTAAGTGACTAATTTCCAAGTTAATGAAGGTAATTACCATCTATTTGTATTTTAGGGTTGTAAGTAATATTAACTTTATAATAAAATTTGTGCAAACTAGACTGACAAGAATGTCTTTTAACCATTAAAGCTAACATAAGAATTTTAATAATGGGTGGAAAAATGTAGATTCGCCAAACTTTGAGTTGAGAAAATGTCATTCAGCCTATTAAAATATGTGACTCTCTATTATTTAATTGTAAAATAAAAATTATTTCTTATATTCAAATAAATAAATATACTATATAATCCAATTCTAACCAATAAATAAATATACTTCAAAATAGTTTGATTATAGTACTAGATTAATTTTAACCCTCTTATCCTAAGGCCTGAAAAGCAGAAGAGGGCTCATCACTCATCGGTAGCGTTAAAATTATCACATCTCATAACCCAATTCTGTTATGACTTATGTGTTTAATTTGATACTATAGTTGAATCTTGGCTAAGTATTGTGTTTGAGTCTGGAGACTATAATTTGAATATCAGTTATATATTGTGTATTTGTGTTATTGGTTAATTGAATACTTTACATTTGAAATGTTATGTTGATTTTAACCAGGTAGTCCATAAAAGTGTTAAAACTAAGATTGATATTGCCGTATTTTTCAAAACGTATTATTGACAATGCACCGTATTAAACCCGTACCGTATTTTTTTCGTATCCGAATTTTATGGCCCAATTTTTATAAACGTATTTTTTACCATTTACCATATTATACCCGTATAATTTTCGTACCCTTTTTTTGCCGTATCCGTATTTACTAACTAGGCCTAGAAATATCCGACCTATTGTCATCTCTACACAACAACCCATGGTCATGACCTCCAAATAAATTATGGACAAAAGTACTACTTTTGTATTTAGTGAAGAATTGAACCTGGGATTGTAGGGACGATATTTTTGTATATTTACAAAATTTGAATATAAATTTTGATTTCATATGTATAATATGGTATATTTGTATTAGAAAATCTGATTGGTTGGAAGCATTAAAGCTTGTTAGAGGGTGATGCATAGTAGAGTCTCTCCCAATCTCCCAAGTTCCCAACAAACAAAGTCACAAGAAAAATGACAGTGAATCTGGGTCTAATCAAATTCATTTAAAAAACAAAAAACAAAAACAAAAAAAAAAAAAAAAATGGCTCTTACTTTAATTGTCTTCTCCCCACCAAAATCCATCTCCATCTTCTCCCTATTTGAGCCTCCATACCCAATCATCTCTCCTCTCTTTAAATTCTCCTCTTCCTCTTGTTCTTCTTCTTCTCTATCTCTTACTTCTATTAGTTCTTTTACTTCTTCTTCCTTACCCATCAGGTTCCGCTCACTTCACCTCCGTACATCTCGACGGAATCTTACGTCGCCTCCCTCTGCCATGCTTCTTCCGCAGAACCCTCTCCTCTCCGACGTTTGCGCCTCCGTTCTTAGTGCAGGTATCGCCCTGTCTTTACTTCGTCTCTGGGAAGAAACCGCCAAACGCCAACTCTGCGACCAGGTGAAATAGCAAGTTGTAAGAATTTTAATTTTAAGGATTTGATTTTTTTTGAGATCTTAATATTACGTGTTAGTTCAAGCTTTAATGGCGGAAATTTGAAGTATAATGTAATCTATACTAGTGAAAGTTGAGTCGTCATTTTGCTGAGTTAGGATACTGCTTAGCTGGCTCCTCGATATTTTGTTTCTTCTTTAATAGAAAAAATGGCATAATTATTACTAATTACTAGTCAGAAGTCAATAAAATTCTGGTTACTCAATTCGGCAGTAACTCTTTGTAGCAGAACTAAACAGTTAGTTAATTTTTTTTCTTATATTTCAGTTAATTTTTTTTTCTTTTTTTGAAGAAATATAAGAAACAATTGTTAATTTTGTTTTTTAAGAGGCCTCAGAACTTATTATGTGTTTCTGCAAGTTGGGTTTGCATTTTATTTTATTAATTGGTAGAATTTCAGTATAAAAGAAGGCCGATAGGCGCTAGCCTAAGCTATTAATACTATGAAACTCGGAGAATTTGATGAGATAAGTGTTTCTGGGCTTGTTATTTTTTGTTTAAGTGTGAAACCAGTTAAATTTGCATGTGATACAATTCTTAGAAGCAACAGTCTTATTTGTACTTGAAGCATAATCTCTCTGTTAAATTCAGATATATATATTGTCTCTGTAGATAACGATTTGTTCATAGCTTAAATCAATCTATTAAAATGGGGTCGACAAGGATATTACTTTTGTTACACTTCATGTTCTTAGAACACTAGTCAATTAAGCATGTTTTTTGTTTTGTTCATCAACTGGGATTTCTTATCCTTCATTTTTTCTTGTTTAGTATTTGAATAGGAAGCTTGTGCATATTAGTATCGGGCTAGCTTTCATGCTTTGCTGGCCAATGTTCAGGTAATCTCACGACTAAGAAGCTTTACATAGTACTCCATATCTGCCTGATGAAACAGCTGTTGCTTCTCATTGCAGTTCTGGGCCTCAGGGAGCAATTTTAGCAAGTCTTACTCCAGGCGTCAATATAATTCGGATGCTTCTTGTGGGTTCTGGAATGTGGAAAGATGAAGCCACCGTGAAGTCAATGAGCAGATATGGAGACCACAGGTTACAACTTGGGATACTATATTTTTGGTTCAGGATGCAAATATGAAGAATATTTGAATCATATAAGTTCACTTGTTGCATCCATTGGTCTTGCTCCCACATAGGGAATTTGCTTTGCTTTGAACTAACATAGCTGGGTTGAGCTAGACCTAGCCATCCATCTACCTAATATGTTGATTTAAAGTTAATTGTTCTGGTCGTCAGAAAAGAGTGTATGTTATGGCTCTAGTTACTTACTGGCTTGTCATTCGAATAATGATATCAATCGTGGGGATGATTTATACTATTAGTTAGCCACTGTTTGGAAGGAAAAGGGCAGGTCTAAGCAGAGACTTAAAATAAGAATTTTTTTTTTTGGTTTATTTTTTTTATTTTACTTTTCATTGTTTCATTTCTTTTGGTCATCATTGATTATTTAAGTCTTTATATGATTTCTCAGTTTGTCCTTAAGCTTGTTCCGTGCATCAGGGAACTTCTCAAGGGACCACTGTACTATGCTATAACAGTTACTTTGGCTTGTGCGGTCTATTGGAGGACTTCCCCAAATGCAATTGCAGCAATATGTAATCTCTGTGCTGGAGATGGTAACGAAACTATACCCTTCTATTCCATTTACATCCTTTAACTAGGTTCCGTTCAATATTTTAATATCTTCATGAATGAAACCTTCTACTGGTGTTCTTGCAATCGGATAATTTTCATGTGAAATTTATATCACTTGCTCTGTTTCAGGCATGGCAGATGTTGTGGGAAGGCGGCTTGGCAGACAGAAACTTCCTTACAACCGAAACAAATCTGTAGCCGGTAGCATTGCTATGGCATCAGCTGGTTTTTTAGCTTCTATTGGGTAAATTTCACCTGTTTCTATTGATGTAGTGAGTTGAGTCTCTGCGCAATTTAGTGCTTTGTTTGTGACAAGTAATCTTGCTGCAGGTACATGTACTATTTCGCATTATTTGGATATCTTCAGTGTAGTTGGGACTTGGTTTTCAGTTTCTTGGTTGTGTCTCTTGCCTCAGCCTTGGCGGAATCACTCCCAATAAGTACTCAGTTAGATGACAACCTTACCATAACTCTAACATCTATATTGGTGGGCAGTCTTGTTTTTTGACGTTAGGACAAGCAGCTACACGTGGGGAATTGTAGTAGCATTAAAACAAAGGTCTGGATATCTTTTATAATTTTGCTTATTGCAGAGGTTGATGTTGTATGCTTTCTGTGTTGTAAGTTGTAATATTTTCTACATTTGAGTAAAATTAAGCAAATGATATCACCAATGTTATAGAATATCTTAAAATACTGAAAATTTGTGGATTCGAAGGGTCAAATACTCAAATTACCACACCATGTTGATATTTTCTAGAGCATGTCAATTAACTCTCTGATTGTGGAAGTTTCGAAGAAGGAATGTATGCCACTCTCTACTGGAATTAGTCATGTATGCATATTATAAATGGTAGATTAAAGATGTTTTGTGTCTGGTGCAGCATAATCTTAAATTACTTTTCAATTTTGTAACTCTTTTTTCTCTACGCTAAGTCACCCTGTCCTCCATGGATGAGACATTAAATTTCTTCTTCCTATACAAACTGAATACTCCATGTCTATGAACCATAAACAGAATCGTGATTCAAAGATAGGGGAAGAAACACAATTTTATTATTCATGATACAGCGAAAAAGAACAAAAATGGGAAAATACTAACCAAAACAGCACAAAATTATGAATTTTCTACAAACCCATTAAGATAGAGACTTGCAGCCACAAATATTGAGTTCATTCTTTGAGCTATCAGAGTAGAAAGAAGACAACTGCTATCTCATTTCACACTCTTACCAATCATGCTTTGATATTCCATCTACCATATGGGAAATTTTCTGCTAATTTGGTTACTTCAATTCAGGCGTTCTCCTCTTGCAGCATCATCAGTCATCACCAATAACTCTTCTTGGTTTCCTTAGCCATAAAAAAAAGTGGCAATTTCTCTGCTCATGAATAGAGTCAGAATGGTGTAAATGAAAATCTCTACTGCGTTTGAGAAAAGGAAGTGCTACAAGTATAACAAGGAAAAGAGCAAAGGAAAGTACAAGAACAAGCATCAGGGTTTCACCATGCAACCCATACGCCCTGTCGCGCACAATCAAAAGAAACTCACCATCGTCATTACCAGGACAGAGGGCTGGTGCGACTACTGCTGATGATGAAGATGATGATAATAATAATCTCCTTGGAGCTTCCCATATTTCTGTTTCTGTCATCTAATGTTTCTTCATATTCTTTTGATTGAGTGTGGAGCTTCCTTATATATATATATATATAAAATAATAATAATAATTTATGTGAAAGGCGAGAGTCCATTGCATATACACGGAAACTGTGTTTTTGTTTTATGTTAAAGGGTGTTTCAGAAGGTCAAGAAGTTTTTATTCTAGATGTGATTTATATGAAAACAATTTAAGCTTTTGTTGTTTCTCTTTGGGTTGGGGTGGCCATTAGCTGGACCCCTTTACTCTTCTTCTTTAAGGCCATACCTAATGGTCCCCGTGATTTCTAGGGTTTCATTTACAGGTCCACTGTCACTGAGATAAATATAATTACAAGAAAACAAAAACAAACAAATCCTTACAGTTTCTCAAATTAAAATTTTACCCCCGAAAGTAAATAATTCATGGGGTAATTTTATAATTTTAAAAACTAGAAGGAGTTATTGATATTTTGAGGTAAAAAACAGTTTAGGTGGACCATTTTGTATCGCCGAAAGCGTCGAAAGATGGAAGAAAATTGAAGAGGAGGTAGAGGTAGAGCCGTAGAGGTAGTGGGCTTTATCATCTCATCAAGAGTAATCTATCAACGCTGATGTCGGGATATCATGGAACGACCAGTGTGTTTTTGATATTCAATCAAGATAAAGTTTGATTTGACTGTAGAGAGCTGGTCAAGGACCAGTCCAGTAGGCCTGAGCCCGTTTGGGACTGGTCTTTTTGGGTTCAGCCACTCAAGGACCTGAGACCTATGAGTAATTCTAAGACTGAATCGATCTTGGATTGGTTTTATAGGCCAAGATCGGTCCTATGGGCTTGGAATTTTTTTTTATTTTAAGGCGAAACGAAATTTGTTTAAGGGTTTTTAGTATTTTTTTGAGGTAAAATTTATAAATTTTTTAGGGCCTGAAATTTTTTTAATAAATTTATAAAATTTTCTTTTAACACCTATAATTTTGTTTATTTCAAATTTATAAAGTTTTAATAATTATACAAGGGACTAACATAAAATATGTAAAAAAATTTGTGCTCAGACCTTTTAATCACTATATTTATGTTTATTTTAAAATTTATAAAGGGTTTTAGTAATTACATAAGAGATTAAAACGAAAATATGAAAAAAAGTTGGGCCCAGCCCGGCCTTGGACGAGGGAGGGCCTGGCCTCCTAGGACCGAGTTTTTGGGTGGGTTTTTAGGCCCTATCCCAAATCCACCTCTATCTCATACGGTGCCGTATCTTTAATAAGCTGCAACTACACGTAAATAGTAAATGTCTCAAAATAAAAGAAAAGAAAATCATATTCCCACCAATAAATCAAAGAGTATAATAAACTTTTCTTACGTGGCAAGCTACAGTAGATATGAGAAAATCTAGTGACCAGCTCACCACACTGAATCCTCCCCGAACAATCACCAAAGACTGAACTGAATCAAACTAAACACCCTCTGCCGTTCTCCGCCTTCCAGATTTTCAGGTACGCTCTCGCCTCTCTCGATTTATAATAAATTAATCGCGATTTCGTTTAATTGATGATCGCCGATTTCGATTTGTTTTTTGATATTGCTTATGCTTTGCCGCCATGATTACTCGAGCAGAAATCTTTTGGACGAGCTGATCCATGTCTGTCCGAACGAGGAGACTATGTCTTCTAACGCTCAGGTTTGTGATACAACTTATTCATCTGTTTGTAGATTGCTCGAAAAGATCGATTTTGTTTATGTTCTTAACTTCTCGTTTGACTGTTTGAGGAGAAGGAAGAATAAGATGTATCTAGTGATAGTTTTGTGTCTTCTTGTTTTTCTTATTTTAGGATTATGCAAGATTCTTAAATAAGAGTCTTCGGAAAGACATTAATGTAATTGTATCTGATTCGCTTCAAATTCGGACTTAATAAATAAAAAAAAAAAAAAAATGGTTGCGAACTACTATCAACTTCGTGGCAGGTGTTTTTTAAATCTGTACCATTGAAGAAAATGAGGATTTCTGAATCCTAGAAAATCTTTAAATATTCTCTTGGATGCAAACTTAAAGGTTTTTATTCAGATTTCAGAATGGAGTTCTTGCTAGCATATGCAAGAAGTTAATTGGTTTTGTTGTGGTGCTGTGTTTGCAGCTTTCATCTCATTTCTTTGGGGATCTTCTAGATTCGATATCGTTGATGTTGCATCTGAGTGTCACCGATAGCAAGGTTGGGCTTGATGTAATTTGGAGGAAGAAGAGCAGAATGGAGGTTGTCAGCACAAGCTCGTGCTAGGGTTGCGGATTCTAGTAATAGTGGTGAAACAAATACAAGTATGTTGTTGATATATTTGGGCAATCTCACCCTCCTGTACCAATGAATATTTGATTGCATGAATTGTGGGCGTTCATCATGGCGGAAGGTTTGCTCCTCATTTAGAGAAGTCATGGAAAGGTGATCATAGTATTCAAATCTCAGTTTTGATAGATGTAATTCTCTGGTGAGATTCATTTTACAATTCATTGAAATACTTTGCATTTGTACTCTACTGTAGGGTCGAAAGGCTCGTCAAAAGTGACAAGTAGCACAGCTGCACAGACACCGCACGCAGGAAGCCCTGGTTCCACATTCTCTTATACCAATTCCACCAACATGAATCGGTTATCAAATGGAGCCCCTGGTGTTGCAGGTGAGGATTATTCAAATGGCTCATTTGAAGAGCTGTGAGACAAGGAAGAGCAGAAGGGCTACTAACTACTTGAAGGTCTAGGCAAGCAACCAACAATGCAGCGGGTTTGTGAATTTCATGCCTAAGGAAATTTGGGGATATGAACATGGGTTCTGGTTCAGAACATATCAGATTATTCTGTTTCATAAGTAGTTTGAACTTAGGACTCAACTGGGAGATGAATGATATAGAAGTTACCAATTATCAAAATTTTCTCATATGTTTATGTCGGCGTATTATAATTTGAGATCCAACAGGATATTGCCATCAGATTGTGTTTCGTTTATTAACTGAATATTTACCCAGAAAATTAAGAAAAAAAATGCAGGTTCCTGGACACCATCCGCTCACCACAATGGTTGATTCTTTACATGAAACAGGGCAATTGTGATTAAACAGTACTTGATATGATAAATCATATTTTCTGTTGAATGCATCACAGAAATCATAAATTGTCTCTTCTATATAACATCCAGCTTTGTCAACAATAACAAATAGCAGTAGTCTTCTGTGCAATGAGATTATCAAGCTTTGTCAATCCATCAATGGAGTTTCTCCAGAAGTTATCAACAATAACAAATAGCAATAGTCTCTTCTGCGATGAAATAATTTCTCTTGCTATGCACATTAACAGGATTCCAAACTATTAACAATAACAAATAGCAACAGGCTATGACTTCAGTCTGTCAATAGAATCCTTCCAATAAGGATAAACGTATTCAACGAAAAAACGATAAACAATAATGCTCACATCTTTCTATTCAAATCAAAACTATCCACGGGTAAAACATTTTAAGAAATGACTGGAAATAGTTGAATGATGAAAAGATCCATTCCCAGGTCAGCTGCTTCTCCTTCGTCATCAAAGAGCATCCTAAAACAGAAAAAGAAAACAATATTCAAAACTTCCATAATAAAATGAAAAAAAAAAACACCATCAAAACCACATAACAGAAACCATCATTACACAAGGAACTCCCATTAACAATTGAGGAAATCACCTATTTTCTATAATACATAAACATCATCATTTAACCCTGGTCAGCATATAATTAAGAACCCTGCTGGAGGTTGGCCCCTGATATACATAGCCTATGGGAAGGCCGAACGGAAACGACAGATTGGTACCCAAAAGGTTTCAAAACGACAAACAAGTATCTTTCGTTAGTGAAAAGACTAGAATGCCCTTTGAGAAATATTAGTCTATTTTTTTAACTACTTTTAGATCCCTTAAGTTTATTAATTCCATCAAATACCCCCAGAAAAAAAGTTTAAAAATTAACAAAACACCCTCACCCACCCATACTTGCCAGATTCCGACGGCCACCGCTGGTGGTAGCCGGAATCTGTCACAACGGTCTACGCCACCACTGTAAATGTCTGGTAATTCACAGATTTGGCCTTTTTTGGCCAGATCCACCATGGATCTAGCCGGAAAAAGCCAGATCTGACATGAAAAGGCCAAATCTGGTTGGAAACTGACGGCCAAAAAAGGCCAGATTGGTGAATTACCGGCCATTTCCAGTGGTGGCATAGACCGTTGTGATAGATTCCGACTACCACCAGCGGTGGCCGTCAGAATCTGGCAAGTATAGGTGGGTAGGGGTATTTTTGTTAATTTTTAAACTTTTTTCTGGGGGTATTTGATGGAATTAATAAACTTAAGGGGCCTAAAAGTAATTAAAAAAATAGACTAATATTTCTCAAAGGGCATTCTAGTTTTCTCACTAATGGAAGGTACCTGTTTGTTGTTTTGAAACTTTTTGGGTACCACTCTGTTGTTTCACCAAACCTTGGGTAGGTGGAAGGCGTTTTCCCCGGGAACTAATACTCCAAAAGAATTGAAATTTGAGTGTTTACCAATTACCACCCACTTGTTTCTTCCACAGTGTTTTAATATAATTAACAGTATGTAAACAAGATGAGCCACAATGTTAAACCCTTTACATTGGGAGCAAGCTTTTACAGGGTCACTTTTCACATTCCNGATAGCTCAATCATAGAGTAATCTATCAACGTTGATGGTCGGGATATCATGGAACGACACGTCTTTTTCATGATTCAATCAAGATAAAGTGTGATTTGACTGCAGAGAGCCGGTCAAGGACCAGTCCCAAACAGGCCCAGGCGTGGCCATTTAGCACTGGTTCCAATGGGACCAGTCATTCATGGGTTTGGTTTGGGATCAACCACTCATAGTCTGGGATCGATCCAAACCCATGAATAATTTTAGGACCCGAATCGGTCTCTAGTACTGGTCCTATAGGCCCAGGACTGATTCTATGGGTCTAAAAAATTTTTTTTCTCCTCTAATTTTTTTATAATTTAGGGATAAAACGAAATTTTGTTGAGGATTTTTAATATTTTTTAAGGTGTGGAATTTTTTTTTAATAAATTTTAATAAATTTTCTTTTAATCCTTATAATTTATAATTTATGTTTATTTTAAAATTTATCGAAGGTTTTAGTAATTATATAAAAAATTAAAACAAAAATATATAAAAAAAATTTAGGCCCAGACCCGGGCCTCGGAAGAAGGCCCATAAAGAAACTGGGCCCTCCTCTTTAGGCCTGGTCTCAAAGTACCAATCCTCTCAAGGGACTGGGGTTTTAGGCTAGATTTTTAACCTGTCCAAATGCCCACCTCTACTCATACGGTGCCTACGCCACTACACTTAAATAAGTAAATGTCTCAAAATAAAATGAAAAGAAAAATCATATTCCCACCAATAAAATCAAAGAGTATAATAAACTTTTCTTACGTGGCAAGCTACAGTTAGATATGAGAAAATCTAGTGACCAGCTCACCACACTGAATCCTCCCCGAACAATCAACCAAGAACTGAAACTGAATCAAACTAAACAACCCTCTGCCGTTCTTCGCCTTCCAGATTTTCAGGTACGCTCTCGCCTCTCTCGATTTATAAATAAATTAATCGCGATTATCGTTTAATTGATGATCGCCGATTTCGATTTGTTTTTTGATATTGCTTATGCTTTGCCGCCATGAATTACTCGAGCAGAAATCTTTTGGACGAGCTGATCCATGTCTGTGCCGAACGAGGAGACTATGTCTTCTAACGCTCAGGTTTGTGATACAAACTTATTCATCTGTTGTAGATTGCTCGAAAAGATCGATTTTGTTTATGTTCTTAACTTCTCGTTTGACTGTTTGAGGAGAAAAGGAAGAATAAGATGTATCTAGTGATAGTTTTGTGTCTTCTTGTTTTTCTTATTTTAGGATTATGCAAGATTCTTAAGATAGAGAGTCTTCGGAAAGACATTAATGTAATTGTATCTGATTCGCTTCAAATTCGGACTTAAATAAATAAAAAAAAAAAAAAAAAATGGTTGCGAACTACTATCAACTTCTGTGGCAGGTTGGTTTTAAATCTGTACTGCATTAGAAGAAAATGAGGATTTCTGAATCCTAGAAAATCTTTAAATATTCTCTTTGGATGCAAACTTGAAAGGTTATTTTATTCAGATTTCAGAATGGAGTTTCTTGCTAGCATATGAGCAAGAAGTTAATTGGTTTTGTTGTGGTGCTGTGTTTGCAGCTTTCATCTCATTTCTTTGGGGATCTTCTAGATTCGATAATCGTTGATGTTGCATCTGAGTGTCACCGGATAGCAAGGTTGGGGCTTGATTGTAATTTGGAGGAAGAAGAGCAGGAATTGAGGTTGTCAGCACAAGCTCGTGCTAGGGTTGCTGATTCTAGTAATAGTGGTGAAACAAATAGCAAGTATGTTGTTGATATATTTGGGCAATCTCACCCTCCTGTAGCCAATGAAATATTTGATTGCATGAATTGTGGGCGTTCCATCATGGCAGGAAGGTTTGCTCCTCATTTAGAGAAGTGCATGGGAAAGGTGATCATAGTATTCAAAGTCTCAGTTTTGATAGATGTAATTCTCTGGTGAGATTCATGTTACAATGTCATGTGAAATAAACTTTGCATTTGTACTCTACTGTAGGGTCGAAAGGCTCGTCAAAAGGTGACAAGAAGTAGCACAGCTGCACAGAACCGGCAGTCACGAGGAAGCCCTGGTTCCACATTCTCTTATACCAATTCCACCAACATGAATCGGTTATCAAATGGAGCGCCTGGTGTTGCAGGTGAGGATTATTCAAATGGCTCATTTGAAGAGCTGTGAGACACAAGGAAGAGCAGAGAAGGGCTAACTAACTACTTGAAGGTCTAGGCAAGCAACACAAGCAATGCAGCTGGCTGTTGAATATTCATGCCTTAAGGAAATTGTTGGGGATGATGAACATGATGTTGGCTGTTCAGAACATATCAGCTTATTCTGTTTCAATATGTAGTTTGAACTTAGGACTCAACTGGGACGATGAATGAATATAGAAGTTACCAATTATCAAAAGTTTTCTCATATGTTTATGTCGGCGTATTATAATTTGAGATCCAACAGGATATTGCCATCAGATTGTTGTTTCATTCTATTAACTGAAATATTTACCCAGAAAATTAAGAAAAAAAATGCAGGTTCCTGGACAGCATCCAGCTCTACCACAATGGTGTGATTCTTTACATGAAACAGGGCAATTGTGATTAAACAGATACTTGATAAATCATTTTTTCTGTTGAATGCATCACAGTAAATCATAAATTGCCTCTTCTATATAACATCGAACTTTGTCAACAATAACAAATAGCAGTAGTCTTCTGTGCAATGAGATTATCAAGCTTTGTCAATCCATCAATGGAGTTTCTCCAGAAGTTATCAACAATAACAAATAGCAATAGTCTCTTCTGCAATGAAATAATTTCTCTTGCTATACAAATTAACAGGATTCCAAACTATTAACAATAACAAATAGCAATAGGCTATGACTTCAGTTTGTCAATAGAATCCTTCCAATAAGGATAAACGTATTCAACGAAAAAACGATAAACAAGAATGCTCACATCTTTCTATTCAAATCAAAACTATCCACGGGCAAAACATTTTAAGAAATGACTGGAAATAGTTGACAGCTGAATGATGAAAAGATCCATTCCCAGGTCAGCTGCTTCTCCTTCGTCATCAAAGAGCATCCTAAAACAGAAAAAGAAAACAATATTCAGAACTTCCATAATAAAATGAAAAAAAAAAACACCATCAAAACCACATGACAGAAATCATCATTACACAAGGGACTCCCATTAACAATTGAGGAAATCACCTATTTTCTATAATACATAAACATCATCATTTAACCCTGGTCAGCATATAATTAAGAACCCTGCTGGAAGTTGGCCCCTGATACACATAGCCTATGGGAAGCTTTTAATATAATTAACAGTATGTAAACAAGATGAGCCACAATGTTAAACCCTTTACATTGGGAGCAAGCTTTTACAGGGTCACTTTTCACATTCCCAATAAATCTAATTTATTTTCCAGTTAACAATGTATTATGAAAACTTAATTTTAAAATTAACAGATAGAGAAACATAAATATACTAACCTCGTAAGGGCAATCAGCTTGTCGATGACCGGCCTCCCCACAACCGTAACACTTACCTCTAAATTTGAAACTCCAACTACTCGACCCAGAAATCGACTTAACTTCATCACGGTCACGTGCTCTGAAAAACTCCTTACAACTCCCTGTAGCTCTCACAATATCCCTCACATTATTCATACTCAAACCCTTCTCATCGCTGTCAATGTTCAAGATCATCCCAAAAATCGAATCCTCCCACGAGTCCGGCAAACTATTCATTAAGAAAACCGCTTCCAGTTCATCAGGAATGTCAACTCCCTCCAACTTCAACTCCATAGCCAACTCACTCATCTTCAAAACATGTTCGTGCGCCGACGTGTCGTCCGACATCTTGTGGGTGACATAGCGTCTAAGCGCAGTCATGCGTCTTGACATAGAGGGTTTCGTGAAAAACGACGTTAGAGCATCGAGCAAAGACTTGGCAGTCGAGTGACGGTGGTACGACATGTAGAGCCCTTCGCTGAGAGCGCCGAGGATAATGTGGCGAGCGGTATAATCATCGTCGACAAATTTCTGATGGGCTTCCGGGTGGGTTTGTTTTTCGGGTATTGGTTGAGTTAGAACGTATTTGACTTCGTTATCCTCCAATACGAAGTCGACTTGGGACCTCCAAATGCGGAAGTTTTTGCCGTAGTCGAGACGGTGTCTCGTTTTGAGTTCTGGGTATACTAATTCTGAGAGAGATAAATCTTTCACCATTGAAATTACAAAGAGAGACAGACACAGAAGGGTTTATGACTTTATGTTGATTCTTGTAATTTTTATTATATATTTATAGGGTTTTAATGTTTTATATAATTCAGAAATCTCCCAGGCTATGTTTGGGAACCAGGATAAAAGTTTACCCTCCCATTCTCCAAGTAATCCCAATAAGAGTGGGGATAAGGAATGTCGGAGCGGGATGCGGCGACATGGGATTCTTTCTCCCACGTCGGGAAAAACTTTTTTTTATCAAAATAATCTCATAAATAATATTATCAAAATATTTTGAATACTTAATTTAATTTATTATCTAAAATAATAAATATTTAATTTAAAATATTAAATTATATATAATATTTTTAATATAAATATTCTTCTTCAGTCTCAGCTTTCCGGTGACCAGTCTCTCCACAACATATTCCGCAACTTTTACTCCCTCCAACTCCAACTTTATAGCCAACGAACCCATCTTCAAAACATGTTATTGCGCCGACTTGTCGTCCGACATCTTCTGGTCTGCGTAGCGTCTGAGTCAAAGCCATGCGTTTCGACATGGAGGGCTTCATGAAATACGAGGTTAGAGCATCTAACAAAGACTTGGTCATCTCGTGATGGTCGTAGGAGATGAAGAGGGAATGATGTGGCGGGCAGTGAAATCGTCACTGGGGAACTTCTGGTGGGCTTCCGGGTCGGCTTGTTTATCGGTAACGGTCGGGTTAGGACGTATTTGACATCGTTGTTGACGAGGAAGAAGTTGAGTTTGGAGTTTGGACTTCCAAATGCAGAAGTTGGTGGAGGCGGTGACGTTGAGCCAGAACGTCGTTCCGAGTTCTGGGTATGCAAGTTGCGAGAGACTTAGATCTTTCTCCATTGTTACTCCTACGCTATTGGATTTGGGATTCTTGAAAGATACGCAGAAATGGTCTTCGTTAAAGCAGAGCACCCAGATTTTACAGTTCCCAATTTGAGTTAATATGGCAATGAACTTTGATTAAAAGTAAAAGTTGTAAAATTAAATTTTGATTCAAGATTTAGTTTTCTATTAATACATTATGGTCAAGAGCTATGAAAAAATCGCAGAGATACATAACACAACACCAACAACACATCAAAAAGGAAAGCAAGGCATCTCAACTCTGTACAACATCATAGCAGTTAAAAAGGTTTGATCTTCATCTCTAACCTATCAAAAACTTAAAATTAAACAGCCTTTTCAGTGATTAAGAGCAGCAAACAAAGCCCTCATAGTAACAGGGTCCAGGTATATTGATATTAGAATATATACTTTTGCTTCCTTTGCAAATATATACAGACCTCATCAGTCAAACGATTCCCAATCCTGAGTTATTTTTGTGGAAGGTTGTAATGGGGCTGGAGCGCTTAAGCATCCGACTCCTGACTCGAACGTCTCCCATTTGGTGGTCACTGATACTGCATTGCCACTATTGCTAAAGGGATTAGAGTTTCTTGCCTTGAGACTGTCTACTGTGTCCACAAAACTCTGCACTCGGCGAACCTGTACATCAAAATTTTACAACATTTAACAGACCGTATATTCAAATTTTCAACTTGATGACAGTGGTGTTAAAAGTCTGGGGATTTATTGATAAAACTCTGTATTTTTTTTCGTTACTGAATTGATAGAAAGGGCCATTGCAGAGGTCCACATGCGACATGATAAGACAACCCTTTCCAGGGAATTCATTAATATTTTTGCTGTGCCTAAAGTGCCTGAAGACAAGAAAACGTATAGGCATATAGCAATTATTGCTCAGCTTTCTTTCTTCTGTAGAAAGCCACACCAAATTTACTATCAGCAAGCTCAATTATTTGTATAAAAATTGGAACAACGCTATCAGAGAAAGACTTCTTTGGTGTTGTTCAATGTCCTTGCCTAAACCAGTTACATCTTTGGATCAATCAATTTATGTACAGTGGACAGACGAGACCCATGTTAGGTTTTCTAACTTTTAATTATATCAAATAAACAGCTTTCACTTTCCAGAATTTATATGTTAGTTAAAGTAGTATAGATCACTTCAACTTTTGGCACATGGAGCAGGCATCTTTGTGATGACTCAACTGCATTCTTCCCAAGGAAGAAAAAAGGAAATATTAAGGATTTTCAAGAAGGTTGACAGGAAATTTCAGCTCACCTCAATCCTCCTCTGAACTTTCGCTTCTCCATTTGCCTCAATTGAGTCCAGTTTAAGCAGCTGCGCCATAAGTAACTCCGTTAAGACGAGGAAGTCCTTGTCTGCAACCTTGGCGCCACCACGAACAGTTGCCTCTAAAGCAACAACCTAAAAGGATAATATTAAAAAAAAAAAAAAAAGACTAATTAGTTTCGATGATGCTACATGAACATAAGGTTTTGTCTCATAAATTAATGGAAGCCAACCTTCTCTGAGAGTTTATCAACCTCCATTCTGACTTTGGCAACATCTTCATAAGCTTTAAGTATACCATGATTTCTATTCATCTCCTCAAGCTTCCTCTCCTTGCTAGCTGGGTCCTCGAACAAAATTACCTTTGACATATCTTTTACACCTACCATGTGTAAACATTCTTCATCGTCTTTTTCTTTACCTTTAAACAACAATCTCTGCTCCTTTGGCTCCAGACCAGTCTCTTGGCCAAGAACCCTTTTCAAATCCCCTTCCATTGAACCAAATATACCCATTGAACATCAATTTCAAAATGTCTAATAATTCAAATGCTGTAGCCTATGCCTATCCCACCAATTAAGTACTTAAATTCTTCATATCATTTTTCTTTAAGAAATGAGGAACTTCATGGGATATAACTTATTAACCATTGTAGCTACTGGGACAATAATAATTCACAGAACATTATAATAATCAGGAAAAAAAAACATAGAAGATAAAATTACAAACCCAGAAAAGAAAACACAAAATTTTTACCAAAGGTGATTGAGCAGGGACATGAGGTCTGGTGATAAGAACCATAAGAGACCTTGATCTTGATCATGGCCCTGAAAAGCCATCCCCAACATCTCTCTTTTGAACAAGCATCCACCAGGTCTTAGCTCCCAATCTATCTGTCTGTCACACTCATTTTTCACTACTACACCTTTGAAATTGACGATCTTTTCATGGTCAAAATGGACACAAAAGATCAAAAACAGGATTTTTTCAAAAAAAAAGAAAAAAAAAAGGTCAAGTTGGTTGAGAGAAGGAGAGGTAACTGTAATGTGAAAGAGTAAAGATTAAAGAGATAGAGTAAGCAACAAGTGCTTTAAGAACAAAGACAACTCAACAGTACAAGGAGTTGGCGGTTGGTTGGTTTATGGTTTCCTTATATACACAGAGTGGTTTTAATATAGTCAGTGATTATCTATTAACCAGGATCATATCATATTATACATTTTAGCATATATTTTATACATGAGAGTGAGCCTTTAGCCTTAGTCTTAATGAAGATGATGGGGTCCCTGTGATGAAAATTAAGTTTGGCCCACAAATGTAACTCATTCTCACCCGATGAGACTGTACATTGAGGGTCCCTGTACTATCATTTCAGGACCTTGATTTTATAGTTGGAAGCGTATTATTGAAGTTGATTTTTTTTCTGATTTAAGTGAAGGAATCTTCCCCATTTTTACTCAGTCCAGGAATTCAGGAACTAGACTCAGTCAAAACTATCAGTTTTTTGAGCATTTGAACTCAGTAACAAAGTTTCAGAACAGTTCCTAAGAGAATTACCAAGTCGTCTTCTGCATTTTCAATAGGTATATGCACTAGTTTCTCAGATTATTACTATTATTTTGCTAATTAATTCCATGAACAGAATAATTTTTAGATTGATTTAACTCAATTCAACAAAATTGGACCCACCAACTCTTGGTGGCTGGATGGGATGATATTACTCTTAAGAGTTTTGAGTTTATTCTCCTCAGATATTAATAGAGATGATACTGGAGAGATGACCACTGTCATTAACTATAGTGCTCAAAGATTATTAGAGGTCGCGCAAATTGACCCAGACCCCCCCTGTCACCAAAAAAAAAAAAAAAAATTCAAAATTGGACCCAAGTTTAGCAAGAAGCCAAAAATAACCAGACCAAGTAAGCGGCACTGGGGGTGTATATGAGCCGGTTTGTGATGAACAGTGTCGAGCTCGAGCCGAGCTCATTCGAGCTTGAATACTTAGGCTCGAGCTCGAGCTTGCGAGTATGGGTGGATACTCGAGCTTGAGTAATCGAGCTCGAGCTTTGATTTATTGTGATAAGGGGGCTGTTTGTCATTTTAAAAACTTGAAAATGAAAAAAAGTTACAAAACTTACAATTTGGCCCTTCGAGCACAATGAGGCTCGCGAGCCTATCGAGCCAAGCTTCACCCTGATTGAACTCGTCTTGATCCCTTAAACGAGCCACTCGAGCTCAAGCTCGACTCAAAGTCAATTGATTCGAGCTCGAGCTTTTCACGAGTCGAGCTCGAGTAGCTTGTGAACTGCTCGGCTCGCTTCTCATCCCTTAGCAGCACTCAACGTTTGGATGGATGTGGAGCCATATATATGGATCTTAGTGGACCGATATTGGCTAAACTTATGAGTGGGCTTAAGTAATTCTTTTTAAGCTCCATAATTGAATTTAAATAAAATTTATTTTATTCCAAAATTGTCCTTGTCAAAATCCTTTTAACTTCTTTTATTCTCCTAATCTTTTTAATTTTATCTTCTTTACTAATCCTTTTAATTTCTTATTTATTTAATAATGATCAATAAATAGAAAAGATAGATGATGAGCTTTTAAGAAAGAAAAGAAATTAAAAAAAGTTTGGAAATTAAAGAAAATTAAAAAAATTAGTGGAGAAATTAAAAAAAGATTTAAAAAAGGCTAATTTTGGAAAAAATTATTAATTTTTTTTTTTCTAATTGATTTTGGGGCTTAGATAGAGTTTGGGTGGGGCTTAAATAACAGTACTCTAAAATTCTAATCTTGGGCCCAATTTGCCAACCATCTGTTAGGTAGGACCAGGGCCCATGGGCTTATTGTATTCCTAATCTTAGCCTTAGGTCTTTACTTGTTAATTGCATATTTATTTATTTAAATTTATATTAAAATATGGATAATATAAACCAACAATTTAGGTCCACAAAAATGTTTGTGCTGGGTGAGAGCCAAGTGAATACCCTGAAATGCCCTCAATGGAATAAAGAGTTGTTTGGTTGATGATAATCACCAAACCCAATCCAATTAGACATCATCCTATTATCTTTAGTGACATAACTTTGGGTTGCGTATCAATTTTGTCTTCCCATTTCTTACGTTGATATTGCCGATCCCACCCATTTAGTGATACAAGACCAATAAGATCATTACATATATATATATATATATATATATATAGTAAGCTTTTCTTGTTTTTCTATCTATCTCCGTTTCTGGATATTCAAATACTGTGGATTAATTTGTTTGTTCAGTAAATTTAAACTATATGTCGGTATGTCGGACCCAATGTCTATTTCTAGGTATTCAGATACGTTAATTTGTTTGTTTAATATATTCAAACTATATGTCGGTGTGTCGGATCCAGATATATGTCTGTTTCTAGATATTCAGATATTTGTCTATTTCTAGATATTCAGATACGTTGATTTGTTTGTTTAACATATTCAAACTATATGTCGGTTTATCGGATGCAGATATATGTCTATTTCTAGATATTTGGATACGTGAATTTGTTTGTTTAATAGATTCACCCTATATGTCAGGTCCCAAGCCTAAAGTGAATAATACCTCTAAGAACCCTCCTACTATATGTCTGATCTAGACATCTAAACATATAGTAGGAGGGTTCTTAGAGGTATTGTTCACTTTAAGCTTGGGACTCGTAAAGTTTTGTCCTAAAAAAATGTATTTGGATGGTGAGGGTGTTCTTGTGTTATATAAGCAACCAAAGCCTCTCGTCCCCCTAACCAATGTGAGACTTTGACACCAACAATATCTTTATAAATATAAAGTGGGTCATATCACAATCCAAATGAATGGTTTACAATTAAAGATAGATGATTGTATATCTAAAATATATGATAAGTACTTATCTTAAAATACGTATTCATTTTAAAGAAAAAAAGATGATTCAAGTGGGAATCAGTGAAGGGTTTGGAGAGAAATGAAATATAGGATTAGAAAGGAGACCTTTTGAAACATACAAAATAAGAACTAAGAAGAAAGAAGGAAAAAAAGCATTTGAGCAAATATATTTATACATAAAAATGAAGATAAGAATTTGTTTTGAATGGATCCAAAAGGAAGAAGAAGGAGAGGCATAGAAACTACATAATCAAATTCAAACCCCACCCAATAACACAACTCCAAACAAGAAAATTCTCCTAAAGCCAAAAAATTAGGGCATGACCCACTTCCTTGTATTTTATGCCCCAAAATGTGGGGTCTTCTCCTTTTTCGCATTCTTCACCAAAGTATCCATGGCAAAAACAATGGAATGCAGACAACATAATGCATGCAAAGAAAAACACAAAGAAGACAGATTGTTCACTTTCTTATTCCATTTTGTAGAGAAGTTAAATCATGCGTGGGGGCATAACATTTTCGTTTTGGCTAAGATCAACTAAATCTTTGATGATAATGGTAGGGACACTTTCCATTGTTATTTACTTAACTAGTGTGGTGAAGCTCTTAATTTTACACACGTGTTATCTCTGTAATGGGGAATGGGGATATTCTTCTTTTTTCTCGTTATAATGGATGATCTTATGATTATTTTGATTAATGAATTAAGATCAGAAGTAGTAGTGAGGTAGTTGGAATACATAATTAGTGTTATAGAGGGCCAAAAAGACAGAATTTAGGACGTTTAATAGCGATGGTTAGGGTGTTTCGTGGGCCATTTTGTGAGTGATTCAGACGACGAAATTATTATTCTTTTCTGATATTGGGGTTTCTGTTTGATGATATATGTTTCTTTGTATTTGTTTTTTTCTGGGTTCATCATATATATATATTCAAACTTTTCAACCATTAATCCCAATACCAGCGCGTGTAAGTTATTAATTATATAGACTATATGTTATGGCACATCCATTTGACCATATTATTAATATGATCAGCCATCAATTAGGTTTCACAGTTAGCTGTCTAGCTTCATCTACTTTGATGACTAAATTTTTCGGTAATTAGGGTTTCATTTTTTTTTAAATGATAGGTGATATCTAAACTAGTTTATATGCACCTCGATTAATCTTTTAGGACCTTGAAATTATCGGTCTAGTAAGAACTCAACTGGTTACCTTTATTAGCAATCGAGAAGAGACTTAAACTCATGACCTTTTAAGTAATAATACACTTAAGAGTCCCTATCGAATCATTCAACTACTCAAAGATAGTTAGGTTTAAGTTACCGGTTAAGTAGATGAACAAAAGTATTAATTTATGACGATTTTATGCACAAAGGAGCTTTTGATTAATCTATATGAGTTGCTCAATTAATGATTGATCTCCGCATTCTTTTCACTCTTTCTTCTTCTTAATTATTGGTGTTAGACTTAAATATTAGCAACAATCGATAATGCTTTGTTTGCTATTAAGCTCTTGAGAGGACGTTGAGGTGGGGGGGTGGGTTACCATCGTGATTAATTAATCTAATTAATTAATAATTTTTTATGTTTATATAATTAGCAGATTGAGAAAGAACAAGAACAATGAAGAGTTGAGTGGGGTTTCACTTTCACTTTCGAATCTAAGTGTCGAAAAGGAGAATGGACCACCCCCATTGCCATACTGCAAACACACAAATAAACAAATCGTAAATAAAATAGTGCACTCAAAAAGTTTATTATTAGTGTGAACAGAAAACGACTTCCCCTATTGCAAAAAGTTTCTTAAACTAACAAGTCCCTTTAACTTCATTATTTTAATCCAATTTTAGATATAATTATATGGTACCATGCATTTATACGGTATACACGTAGCTGAAGAAATCCAGGTGAACAGCATCTTCAACCTCCACCATCCTTTAATTGGTTGATATACTTAAGCTTAATCAATTCGTTAATTAATGAAGTTTTTGTTCATCAGAATGTAAGATATTGTGTTTGCCGACTGTACAGTATGTATGAAAGTTGAAGAAAGTACAAGTAATTTGATTAAGATTAGTGGGTGATTATGTGGGTAATTAACGAATCAAGAAAGGCCAAGTCTTGATAATCTTAGGCGTGCATTGTGGCGTGAGGCTGAGGTTATCCTAACGTGGATAGATTTAATTAAAGTTAATTAAGAAGAGGAAAAGCCAGGGACAAAAGACACATCTTATTATTAATTACCTTTTGTATAATTATATTATTATTGAAGTGCAGGTTGATGTTGATGACAGAGAACATTCCACATTTTTCCCACTCCCGGCTCTGCATATAAATGGTGATCAATAACAATTTCAACCCAAACCCTTCTTTCTTTTCACCTGCTAACTATGGCTTTCACTTAGCGTAGTACGTCTTCTCCTTTCTCTCTGTTTTCATTTATATATGAGAACCCTTGTTGTTGATGATGATGTTGTTGTGCTTCATCATGGTTATGGTTTAAGTTTATAGATGAATTAATAGAATGGGATATGGAGAGCTCACAATACGAAGCTATGATGGTCAAATCGATCGAGCAGGGGTGGAAGATCTCGAGAGAAGGTGTGAGGTAGGCCCAACTGAAAGAGTTTTTCTCTTTACAGACACTTTGGGTGACCCCATTTGCAGAATCAGAAATAGTCCGATATACAAGATGCTGGTAACCCTACTACTTCAATTTTATTTCTTATTTTTCATCGTCATCGTCTCTCTTAATTCCATCTTCATCTCCTTATGGTTTTTGATTTAATACATGTTAGGTAGCCGAGTTGGACGATGAGTTAGTTGGAGTAATTCAAGGCTCTATAAAGCGTGTAACTGGGCTCCATAAACCTCCTGATAATCTTGCCAAGGTGGGCTACGTCTTGGGTTTAAGGGTTGCACCAGTTCATCGACGAAAGGGAATTGGGTTGAGCCTCGTTCGAAAATTAGAAGAATGGTTCGTTGCATATGATGTTGATTATGCGTACATGGCTACTGAGAAAGACAACGAAGCTTCCGTTAAACTCTTCACCAAAAAGCTCGGTTATGTCAAGTTCAGAACTCCAGCTATTCTCGTACATCCAGTTAACAATCGCGTCTTCCATATATCATCAAATATTGAAATAGCAAAGCTGAAGATTGAAGAAGCTGAGAATCTCTACAAAAAATTCATGGCTTCAACAGAATTCTTCCCATATGACATAGGCAATATATTAAGAAATAAACTAAGTTTGGGGACATGGGTGGCGTATCCTAGAGGTGAATCAAGGGGAGAATTTGGGTCGAATGGGCAAGTTCCAAATAGTTGGGCAATGCTTAGTGTGTGGAATAGTGGAGAACTTTTCAAGCTAAGGTTGGGGAAGGCACCCTTATCATGTTTAATATACACAAAGAGCTCAAAATTGATTGATAAATTTTTTCCATGCTTTAAATTGCCAGCAATACCAGATTTTTACCACCCGTTTGGGTTCTATTTTATGTATGGAGTGCACCATGAAGGACCATTATCAGGGAAGCTGGTTCGAAGCTTGTGCCAATTTGTGCACAACATGGCCACAAAGTCTAAGGATTGTAAGGTTATTGTAACAGAAGTTGGAGGTAACGACAGCCTGAGAGTTCACATCCCGCATTGGAAATTACTCTCATGTCCAGAAGATTTGTGGTGCATAAAGGCCTTGAAAAATGAAAAGAAGAACACCCTTCACGAATTGACAAAACTCCCACCAACAATAGCTCTTTTTGTAGACCCAAGAGAGGTATGAACAATAAATTTCCCGACTCTTTTGCCTGCTTGATCCAAACCCCACCTCATGTATTGATTGATAAGTCCATGTATCTCTCCTGGTGGGGGCTTTTCTCTTGTTCCTTTCACATCGAAGACATAAAATCTCCAAAGATTTCCTTAATTAGGAGCCACCCTCCATTTCCTTGTTCTCTATTCAATTTTGTGCCTCACGATTCAGACTAATCAAACAGGTCTAGTGGTCCATTTTTGTTCTTTCTCCACTGGTAACAAAATTCACTGGACGCTCTCATCAATTGTGATCACTACCTAACTTGCTAATGTAAAACATTGAGATTTTTACTCAACTGAAATGAAATCTATCAATGTATACAAAGTGGGTCTCTCTACACACCTTCGAATTTGATCAGCCAATTTTTTTCATGCATGTTTTTAGTAAGACATTAGTACATTAATATTTCGGCGCATTTGTTTCATTGTTATTTTAAAGCTTTGTCTAGTTGGGAAGATGTCAACCTCGCCGACCTCGCTCCATTTTTCATCACCTCATCTAGCTACTTTAATTTGTTCTTGTTCATGCGGATAAAACAAAGTTGGTTAGTGTTTCAACTCACTAGTCACACTCGTTACTATGTTTAGATAAAGCAATATAGAGTTTGGCACATATTCTCTCTCTTTATATTCATCATTCATTACTTGATTTCTTTTCGTTTAAACACCAATATGTATGTATATATGTGCCAATAAGAGCCTAATAATACTCACTAATCACCATTAAAATGATGATATTTATGACTGTTATAGTACTGATGATGATAAGGAGTAAACTCATATTGATTCTCATTGGTTTTGAAGAAAGAGAGAAACTTCTTTGAAGCCCAATTATAACAGAGATAAGATCATGCCCATTTGGACCTTATTTTTTTCTTGAAATTAATGAACATCTCTTTGTCCTTTGGTTGAATATTTTTCAGTAAGTGGAAGGTGGAATACAGTTGCATGTCATCGATCACTTGACTGCTAAACAAGTGGTTTGAGGATAAAGTCAATACCTGCATGCAAATTCATAATAATATTTTTCACATATAATCCAAGCATCAGTAATGGTAAATTTTCAACTCTGCACTTTCTAATTGAACTCACTTAGACTGCTACTATATATGTACCTTCTCATAGCAATTCTTCACCCACATAGGAAGACTTAATCGATAGGGGAAATATATTATATTAATATGTATGATTTTGTATACCTTATGATTGATTGGATGTACATGTATCTTTTATAAAAGTTTTTCTCTTGTGTACCGTGAACGGGCATACTCTATTTGCAAAAGATAATAAACCTTTTAGAAAGACAAATGTATTCAATTGTTATGTATATAAAAACCTTAAACATACAAAAACATTCCGAGGTGTGATAATATTGACAAAATCTAGCTAGCTAATAATGTTGGATCTTCAGAGTCTAAGAAAAACCTCTTGTCGTGGTCGTGGACCACGAATACGATCGATATCTATCAACATTGATTTTCCAGCACATGCATGACCAATCTTATTCACTTACAACAAGCAAAAATCAAAGAGAAGGCAGATGTGAAATTGATTATCCTGACTTCGCATGCACAAAATAATTAATGCAGCTTCCTTCTTAGGTAGCTTTCTTTGACAACTTCATACTGCTGCATAATATTTTTCTAAGGGCTGTTAAAACTATTCCTGCGCAGACGTTGAAACTTCATTTGTTATCTGTGGACATTATTTGCTGCAGATAATGGGTCACTGAATCACGTGCATTGGACAAAAACATATACATACAGCAACTTGTATGGCTTAATGGACTGATAATTAATTGAGATTCCTCCCTGCTACAGGTCATCTACGTTGTTGATTTTGTGGCCTTCATTACTGACTCGCCATTACAAGACAAAAAGAACTATAGTTTCATTCATTCGAGGTAGTTGTCTTGAATAGACAGAAAACCTACGATTGTCATTGGATTTTTCCATTGTCAAATTGATAAAATTGTAGCATTTACACCACAAATTTCATTGATAAACGAGATGAATACCTTTCATAGCTGTTTAATTTATTTGGATCAATCTTGTCTTGTATACACTCACACTTATATGTATAGATATAATGAAGAAAAATTTTCAGTAGGATGGATGTATAAGTACCCTTACGATTTAAGTAAATTAAGTTATCTCGTATGATGATTAGCCTCATTCTAATAGATTAGGCAAGCCAGAAATTGAGATTAAATGAGAGAATTGTATCAAGTTTAACCTTACCTAAACTTCATAGACAGGACAAAGCTTCAAAACCTCGCTCTATGTAACACTGCAACCTATCTTGTCCGATTTGCTGCATATTTTGGGCCCTCTGGTAATTGTTGAATAGCCCCATATCCTGTTTAGTTAAGATGTAGATTTGTAATATTCATTTTAAGGAAGAGTTCTGCGTATAGCAAAATCCTAACCAACTGAAATAGAGAGACTGGGAGAGGAATATATGATAATGGTCGTAAACTAATTGAAATACACTGTAAATTCTGAAAACAATTAACAAAGTCTGCAAATGAATGGAAAAAATTTCAATACAACAATTCTTTGGATTTAGACACAGTTTTCACTTACTCTTCTCCATCACCTTTATCATGTTGATATGTTTTGATCACCTGGATTCAAGGCCGTGTGATGCAAATGTTTATGTATTGGTTATCTTTTTTTTTTTTTTTTATACATATACTTGTACTGCAATGACTCAACATCAATTCAACAATGAAAATAGGTATTTTGAAAGTTTAAGCTGGTTGCATACGTTTTATATAACTTTCCCTCGTTAGTTAGTAAGTAATCTGGTTTTCAAGTAATTTTTCTTCTTTGTCAGACATTTAAATGGTTGCTAAGGCTAATCTACATGAAGTTTTAAATGGTTGCTAAAATTGTTGAATGCTATCTTTATATGTAATCTTGAAATTGTGAAGATAGAGTTGATCAAAACCAAGATCTGTTCTGTTGTTTCTAATGGTTAGACACAGTCTAGCTCTATTAAGATGGCTTGATATTGGTATTAAAATATGAAATGTGCAGCAACTAGTGGTGTTCTCTATGAAGGAGGTGCAACTTTTGGTTACATTATTATTATGTTTGCATTTTTTATGTTAGCTGTATCAGTCTAATTAAGCAATGGCGCTTTTAAGTGTGAGTATGGTTTCAATAGAAGAAGCCAATGGCCACACCCTTAATGCTTGCAGATTTAAACAAACTGAATCCTTAGACCTATTATACAGTCACAAGAGATCTTAGCAGCTGAGTTCATTGGTATCTCGGTCATGCTGATCCAGAGCTTTTATTAAAAGCTATGAACTTAATTACAATTCAACTTAACTGACCCTTGAGAAGTTTTTTTTTAAGTTGTAAACATTAAGCAAAGAGGAACATATTTGACATTGAGGCCTGCAGAAATGACAAGGAATTTTTATGACTCTAGGTACAAGATATAAAATATGGCTGCTATTTCTTCTAATTCCATTCAAACAAGTATTGCATAAGGTTTCTAGCCTGATCTGTCAAAGTTTGAACTAAAAATAAAACAATTCTGAGTAGTGAAAGTGAAACAGATTATTGCAGTTTGCAGATAGAAGTTCTTAAAACACTTCTTTCACTTTTAAGGACAAATGCTATTATACAAATGTAAAAACAGTGGATGTATCAGATTAATGATAACTAATATTTGCCAAAAATCTGAGAGTATTACAGAGAGATCACCTCATATACAGTTTTTGATTGATTGACAATATTGAATACTGTAGATGGGCCATTTGAATAAAAAAATTTCACCATCTGTCGCATTTTGTTTGCGAGATGTAAGGAAGACTAGTTATTTGGGCCAGGGTAACTTACATCTGATCTGCTAGGGCCTGTTTTGTCGCCTCCTTCTCAGGTTTTCGGCCCTCAAAATCACAACCTAAAAGCCCAGAAAACCAAAATAGTTAGCATTGTAAGAAATTAATTAGTTTTTTCAATACATCATTTTTGTTTAAGGTGTCTCACCAGTTTGCACGTATCTTAACTAATCTTTGATGGATGGTAGGTGATCATTTTATGGGACTAGAACATAAAACCTCTCGATAACTTACCGAGAAGTGACCCTTTTTGAGGATTTATTTTTCTTTTGAGAATATAAAAAATATTCTATTTTTTATTGAGAAAAATTGTACCAAGTAAACCAATAAAGTCTTTATCATCTTTAGTCAGTTTCAGCTGAATTTTGTGAAATAAAGTTACCATACTTAATGTTTTTCTTTTGCTTTCCTTGTTTAAGTTATGATCACTCGTGACAAGTATTGAATGTAACATGGACCAATTAGTAAAAGTGTAATAATCTTAGCTTTCGTACCTAATTTAATTTGATACCTTATAATATATACACAATTTGATACCTTATAATATATACACCAATTTAGTACAAGGCTCATTAAATACAACAAAAAAAATCATCAACATTATTAAAAAAAAAATAAAAATGGTGTTATTGCCCTTTGTACCTAACTCTGATACCGAATAATATATTGATAAATCTCGTATAAAAAAATATGCTCATACTACCACCAAAAAAAAAAAAAAATGTCCTCAAAATGTCGTCACATAAATGGGCATGATCCATGCACTAAACCCCAATTGCCCCACCATGCTTGAAGCGTATAGTGGAATCCACACACACATCTTCATCGTCTCTCTCTTTCGGTAGTCAATTACTACATAGAGACAAAGCCACATCAAGTCCTTCTAAACCTTCTCTCTCTCTCTCTCTCACAAGTTTCTCAGAGATAGAGCCATGGCGGGTTGTATGGGCGATACTGATCGAACCCTGGCGTGCAGAAACAGCGAAGCCGCGGCTCATCTCAAGTTCATATCAATCTTTATCATCTTCTTCACGAGTGTCATAGGTATCTCTTTACCAGTTGTGTTGGCCCGCTTTTTCCAAGGCAAACCCAGTTACGATAAAGCTATTTTGATAATCAAGTGCTTCGCCGCCGGTGTAATTCTCTCCACTTCTCTTGTCCATGTCCTCCCAGACGCTTATGAAGCTCTCTCTGATTGCCAAGTAGCAACAAAACATCCATGGAAAGACTTCCCCTTTTCGGGTTTGGTTACTTTAATTGGCGCCCTGTTGGCTTTGTTCGTTGATATAACTGCAAGTGACCACGTTGAACATAGCCACGGCGGCGGCGGCGGCCATATGAGTCCTGATAAAGAGATTTACTCGCTCATCAGGGCACATGACGAAACTGTAGTTCCGGCGAAGAAAGGAGTTGAGTTGGGGAGATCAATTGAATTGGGTGAACATAATATTGTTATCAGAGATAGAATTGAAGAATTAGCGAAGCTTAAACAGAAATTAGTGTCACAAGTTCTGGAGATAGGGATAATATTTCATTCAGTGATAATCGGTGTGACCATGGGGATGTCTCAGAATCAATGTACCATTAGACCTCTCGTTGCTGCACTTGCGTTTCATCAGATTTTTGAGGGTATGGGCCTCGGTGGCTGCATCGCTCAGGTAATCTACTTAATTATCTTATTCAACTGATTAATTGATCATCAGATAATCTGCTTTTTTCTCTTTTATTTTGATATGGTGCGGTAAAGCACCATTAAATTGAGTGAGATATTGGCCCCACTTAGTGCATGGAATTTTGTCTAATTAGCACTATTCTGATTACGTGGCTATCTTTTTCAGCTTTAGATTTTAGAAAAAAGAAAACCAGAGTGGACTTTAATTAGTGATCCACTATTGTTTAGACTTTTTCTCTTTAATTACATCAGGATCGTTTCAAAGACATTAATGGTCTTGTCTCATCAAAGAAAAAGTTGCAGAGAGTGTAAGAATCTGATTTCCAGCTAGTTAGCGTATTTCTTCAAACTTCTAATGCCATGACGAAATAAAAATGAAAGTCTGAAACTTGCACGTCTCTCTGGTATAAGATTATCTGAAAGTAGCTATATTTCTTGAACATTTAACAAGTTTTAACTGATCATGAATTAATGGTGAGAAATATTATTGAATGCAGGCAGGATTCAGTATTGGAACAGTGGCATACATGTGCTTCATGTTCTCAGTGACAACGCCAATGGGGATAGTTTTAGGAATGATAGTATTCTCAGTGACAGGTTACGATGATAGCAGTCCTCATGCATTGATAATGGAAGGCCTTCTGGGATCTTTATCTTCTGGAATACTTATATATATGGGTCTGGTGGATCTCATTGCTTTAGATTTTTTCCACAACAAGTTGATGAGTTCTCAGGCATGGTTGAAGAAGGCATCCTTCATTGCTTTAATTCTTGGCTCCACTTCAATGTCCATCCTCGCCCTTTGGGCTTAAAACTTCTGTTTTAATTCTAATAAAACAATAATCATGTAAAGAAGGAAAAAATATTTATGGCTTACAGTTTGCATCAGAATGAACTGTATCATTGGTGGCCATATTGTAGCCATTTTCTTCATTTGTGCCCACATATATGTGTAGTTTATCTCCAATATGAGCCACATGCACAGACCTAATGTTGTGATGAAATTAATGGTGATTTGAAGCAAGACTCAAGGAATCTTTAATTTCCTGGAATTGATCATCAATAAGGCACTATCTAGTGATCAAACTGATACCTGTTCATCATAATTGTAACACCCCAGTCCACAACCGACCTAATACTGTCAAGATATTGTCTATTAAGACACCTAGGTGAGGTGGCCCAACTCTGAAAACCTTTCACGGTTTTGCTTAAACCCAAAATGCGTCTTGACATTTAGAAGATTCTCTTGGTATTTAACCAGCTGAGGTCCTTCATTTCCAAATGATGTGGGATGTTTCAATAATATAATTAGGGAATAGGTTTTTTATTTAACGATTTTTTCTCTGATTATTTAATTAACATCTTTGGCATGAACAAATTGATAAGTAAATGTGCACCTAAACATAAACTAGTGCATCATAATACAATGAAAAGAAAGGATTAATGCTCACTTAGCATTAATTAAGTGTTAGTGTGTTTACTTTATTTTGATTATTTATGATTTGGAAAATGATAGAGTCACCAAAAATATACATTGAATCTGTACACCGAATGACGTGACAAAATCTTGACCGTTGATTAATATTAACTGATAATGAATAAACGGTCAAGATTGTATCACGTCATTCGATGTACGAATTCGATGCGTATCCTTCGATAACTGTAGCATTACTTTTATGGTTTTTAGTTTGCTTTAGTAGAAGACTGTGATTGCAATTAGTTTCACTAACATATACAAAAAACCCACAATAGTGTTACAGTTTTATATATTCACAGTATTTAAATATATTGAATGAGTTGTGAGCAAACATCAAGGTCCCGTAGCTCAGTTGGTTAGAGCGTTGGTCTTATGAGCCGAAGGTCGCGGGTTCGAGCCCCGCCGGGACCAGGATTTAATTTTTAATCATTTGATTTGGAAAACTTTAGTTTTGTTTTTGGTGATTTGTGGGTACTACTATGAATTAGCTAGCATGACATTTTGATTTCATAATCTTTATTGTTTAATCATTTGATTTGTAGTAAACTATGAATCAAAGCATTACATTTAATCAATTTGAAGCAATGAAGTATGATTTTGGGATGTCATTATATTTGTTGACGTTTGATTTTGACACCAACAACTCGTACGTGTAAAATGCTAAGATGCTCTTAAAAATTACACGTGAATGATTAATGCAGTAAATAAATAGAAGATGATTCTTAAGGTGGTTTGGATGCTCAAAGTGAATCTTACGTCTACTGTTTTTGTATATATGAGAGATTACAATCAAGTCACGTATAGCAAGTTAAGATACAATTAGAATATAGTTTTTGCTATCAAAATCCTGAAAATGAGAGGGAGAGTTTTCTATTTATAGTTGAGGGATTCAAGATAATGATTACAAGTCTGTAAGTGGGTAGATACCGTACAATTTCTACATTGCTTCCCATTGACTGATTACATAGAAGATATCCTTAAATCGCGTAGGGCTTAGACAGGTTTGCAGCCCTTATTCACTTATAGACAAAACTTGAATCTGCCAAGTTGATGATAGTTATATTCTTTTTGTCTTCGAACGACGTGACAGCTCCTAAACGATACAAAGCCTTCATGAACTCTGATTGATGCTTGCTGACGTAAGCTTGCGTCAGCCCTGTATTTTTAGGCATAACAACATTCAATTATTTAAATAGAAATCGGATGCAATAAGTAGAAAAGATAGGCAAAACACTTTCCTACAAAAGAACACGAAATCCCTTTATCAAGAAAAGATGGCTTCCTCTTCATTTTGGTGATGTTATTTTCTCTGCTCATCCTCATCACCCTTCTTCATTATGTATAATATTGTATGGATTTAGCACCAGCATTTTCATGTGTCAAATAATTCAAGGGCAAGAGCAACCACCAATGCTATAATCTTTTCACCGGCGCGAGCGCTAGGTGGTGGCGCCAGAAGATCATCGTCGCCAATTGGGGTGGAGCCGAGTATCATCAATAGCTTGCCATCCTTGGATCACAACCAATAATAGGGTTAGGTTGGAATTATCAGAGTGCTCTCTATAATATGTCTTGGTGTTTTTGAAAATAAAGATTTTTCCAGAATGTCAACATGCTTATCATAGTGATTGTCTTGACAATTGGCTCACCCTCCATTCAGGCTGCCCTCTTTGTAGAGCTTCTCTTCAAGTCATCTACAACTCTGTCAATTAATTAATGGTTTTCTATTATTTAATTTGGCTTAAATGAAGGCCAAAAAGAATCTTGAAACATTGATGCAATTACTTCCCATTTAATTCAAACAAAGTAGTATGCATTCGTAAATCGTATAACAGATTAATTCCTCAAAAGAGACGAGCGTCAGAAGCTCAAAAACAGACAAATTAACTTAAAACAGCCATAACTTTGAGGCTCATAAAATATCAACAAAAAGCTTGTTTCGAGTCCAACGACATGGCAACCAAACAACCTAGTTTGGGGGTTATTTTCGGACCCAAAATCTACTGTTTCGACATGTTTCATAATCGTTTAAGTTTTCTACGCATTTTTGATTTTTTTTTTTTATTAATTTTGATTTTATTTTCTTATTTATTGGGAGCCTTTTAAGATTAGGCCTCATGACCATATATGTTTATATTATTCGTTTTTGGAAATTATTTAATGATTATTCAGATTTTACTTCTTCAAATTGTTTATCAATTTTAGAGGGACTAATTTTCAAAAAAAGTAGTACGCATTTGTTTTAGTCTTGGATTCATATTGAAGAATCAAAATTTGGTCTAATAAGAAGAAGCAAATGGGGCAGAGAGGAGTGGGACATTGAATGAAGGTAATTAATATATATATTAAAGCACATCCACCGCGGTAGCCCTTCTTTCTTTGACCGTTCTGCTTCACATAATAATTAATTGAACACGACGAAAATTGCAACAAAACATTGACCACAAAACATGGAAGACTGTACCAAGAGATTTCCCTGATCTCATCACCATACGAACCCCGTCACCAAGTTTTAGACTCAGACTTTCAGACTTCCCTTCTTCATCCTCATCATCAACCATTATAATACAGTTTCTTTTTTTCTTTTTTTGACGTAGAATTGAATGAACTTTTCTTCATTTTATATTAGCTGTAGAAAACGTAATCTAGTCTTCTTGTTATAAGAAAACATTATGGTATTTTATAGTCAGCATTACTGGGGTCAAGTCACCCTATATTGGCAAATGGCAGCCATACCGGGCTTCAAACGTGATGAAGTTGAATCGGTATTTTGTTATATCCAATTAAGATTGAAATTCTCATCTATAATATAGTGAAAGATAAGAAAATGCATGAAAAAGAAGAAGAAAAAATTTGATCAGACAGTTGAAGTTATAACCTGGCCCAATGGGAACTATGAGAAAGATGATACTAACAAGTTTAAAGAAATCTATACAATCGATCTAGTTACAGTAAACACTGACAAAAAGATAGCTGAGTCTCTCTCTCTCTGTCAAAATGCTATGCATCTAATTCATTGACACGATCTTTGGATGAAGGAAACACTTTGCATTCAGATCGATTTCTACTCAACATTCTTTTCAAAGAGCACCCCAATGAAGAAGAAGAAGAAGAAGATGTTGATGGTGATGTTACCTCAACATTCATTCTCATAACATCCTGATCATCACTTATCTCACAGTTCGATTCTGATACATTACTCAGTCTCTCCAATCTTGACTCTGCTTCAACCACAATCTCCAACAAATCCCCACCTACATTCTCCATAGAATTATTACTCACATCGTTCTCTACTTCATTAACAGTGCTGGAAATAGCAGCATTCTTGTCACCAACAACTGGAGCTCTACAAATGGGACAACTGGAGTGAGAATGCAGCCACATATCAATACATTCAACATGAAAACAATGGCTACACTTGGGTAAACTCCTACCAACATCATTATCTTCAAACCCACTTAAACAAATAACACATTCCAACCCTTGCTTAGATTCATTTGAGGTGTAAACAAACAGCGGAATCGAAGCAATCGAGGAAGGTTCAAGACCCTTTGAAGGAGACGAATATAGAGTTGCAGTAGTAGTAGTAGTAGTAGTAGTATCAAATGTGAATGTATGGAAATGATGAAAACGATGAGCGGGGCGTAGGACTTGAGAAACAGAGATGGAGTTTCTTCTTCTTTGACGAGCTTGTGCTAAGAACCACTTGGCGTAGATGTGAAGAAGCAACACAAAGAGGATAACAAGAAGTAAAGAAACCACAGCTGCAAGCATAACGTTGCTGTCGTAAGAGGAAATGCTCTCCACCAAGCGGCTCACTGCGTTTAATGAGTCAGAATTAGAACTCGCCATTGCTGCTGTTAATTGGAAGGGGAAGATTGGTTTAGACAGTGTTGTACTTTGCAGTGACAACAAAGTGAAGTGAATGTGATATAAATATATGTGAAGTATTGGTTGGATTTTTCTTTTTAAAAACTATTTTTATAATTTGATATATTCATTAGAACATAGGAGAATAAGATACCAAACCAAAACGTGAAGACAAAGTAAAAGGCATTGAAAAGATGGATTGAATTATGGGGATTGATTGTGGGAGTTAATTAAGAGTTTGAGTGTAGAATTAGGATTTAATTAACAAGTGTTTTAATTTTGTTGTAGTTGTTGAAGTCAATAGAGAATCCCATAATCCAAGGAACTAATAAGAAGAGTTGTTTTTGTGCATGGGATTGGAAAAAAAGGTTGAATATAATGAAGGTCTCGTGAAGGCGACGGCAGTCAGGGATGGGGATACTGGATTCATGTGACATTGTTTAGGGATCCCAAGACTGAACTACATACGTCTTTCATCTCATCTTTCTAAATACTTTTATATTTTTCAGTGACCTTTTTTTTTTTTTTTTCTTTAATGACTAAAGGTGTTTAAGCTAACTTATGCATACCTCAATTAATATTTAAGTGAGCTTATGCATATATCGACTAAATAAGAGCTCCAGTTGTTACTCCTATTAACACCCAAAAAACGAGTTGAATTTAAGATCTCTTGAATAATATACCCAAAAGTCTCTATTGAACCGTTCGGTCACCCAGAGATAATTCCCATTTACTTACTTTCACTTCTTTTTGTGTCTTTCTTCTTTGATATAATAACATCTCTTTATACAAATCTTATGATATGAACCCTTGTAATTTATGAAACCCATTTGAGATTTGATTTTGTTTTGTATAAAAAGGGTAGGGTGTGTACTGTGTAGTAGGGTCTGAAATAGGTGAGGAGTCAATTTGAATGGGGTGGGTTCAGTTCAGGGGCCACATGTGAATCTAACAAGACAAAGGTTCTTTTTTGACTCATCATCCATCAGTCCACTGCATTTTGCTTAAGACCAGGACCACGCCTAGTCTTTTGCTTAGCTTGCTCCCAATTCAACTCCTATTTGCATCTTTTTTGGCTGCATGTTTTCAGTAATTAATCATAAACTTTACAACCGGTAGCCTCGTGACCTACTACTGCCACTGACCACACCAATGTGTACAATACCTGTGAGACTTTAGGCACTTTTTTTAATTACTGATTACTCTCAGGGTACGACCATTTTAGACTTAAAAAATAAATTCGTTCACACCCCTACCTAACGTTTGTAGCTGCAGGCCAAACAATCTTCTTCCTCTGAAAAGTTCCCAATTCCCCGCACAGCTTTCGGAAATTAGAATAAACATTGAATCTACAGCAAGGAAGAGTGGGATTTATGAAGAGCACTTGGGTTTTGTTTGCCCAAGAACTTAAATTCATTAAATAGTATCGCATTTCTAGACAGGTTACATTTTCCTGATGAATTGTGATTAAACGAATGGAAAATTCCCTCGGAATTCAGTTATTAAATTACAAACTTGAGTGTTTTCGTTAAAGCGTGTCATACTTGGTTTGGTTCAGTCCATGAGTTTGTATCGTTTCTCTTGGACACCGGTAACTCCCATCTGTATCTCGATTATAGTATGAAGCGGCATCTGAAAATAGGAAAAATGCTTCTGTTAGTACAAAACTCTTACAGAATTAGGCAAAAATGCACAAGCCAAAATCCTAATACAACTGTTCCATCCTAGTGTTTTGGTGTTTCTAATCTTTAAGAGAGAAACATCCATTGAACTTTGCGTACTAAACAATTTAAAACCTTAAACAATACTAAGTCTTAATATACATGCAACCATTGTACATCCACTGGAAAAGAAGAGTTTTGTAGCAGCAGTAAAAAAAATCAAATCAGTATTGCATGTGTGTATCAAACATTACCACAACATTGTAAATTTACCCAGATGGGGAGCAATGCTGTTTTATCCCAATCCAAGTACATGCAAGCCACATTCAAGGTTGCATGCAGTTAAAAGAAAATATACAAAGAAGTACCATTTTAAATTGTGCATAGATTACCTCGATGTGGGGAATTTCTTTGAGAGGCCTATCAGCAAAATAAGCATATAATGCTCTTAATACTGCCTGCAACATTAAAGAAAAAATTGAGATTATAAATATCTCATATATTGAAAATAACATGAGCTAAATAAACTTATGTATAACCTGATGAGATATCACCACAACTGGTGCCCTTTGTCGTTCAAGCTCAATGATTACAGGTTCAAGCCTGGATAAATGCGGGAAGTTAATTTCTTCTGAACAAGGTAGCAGACAAAATATTCAAAATCCTAGAAAAATAACAAACAAACCGCAAACCTCTGGATAACATCGAGATAAGATTCTCCACGTGGATACCGGTACCTCAGTTTGTCCTTCTTACGAGCGCTGTATTTACAGAAGAAACATGGAAACAAATGTGAAACTTCTGGACACGTAATTTTAATTGATCACAACTCATAAACAACCAAGCTCACTGAATGAAGTCTGACTTCAGCCATAATAAAAAAAGAGGATGAATTCAATCTTATCAACCAGAAAAGAAGAAAAAGAACTAACTCATACTCCTCAGGCATGTTCTTCCTTATCTCTTCATATGTCATTCCATCACAAACTCCAGCATTTATCTCATCAAGTGCACGCCATTGTATCTACAAAAAGATCTTAAGATTAGTTAGAACCCCCATATTTGATTATAAAGTAATGTCTAGCTTTAGGTACATATATTACCCACCCAAGTTGAAATGACGTTTTCACAGATTCACACTAACCTTGGGAAATCCAACAATTGGACTTGCTGTCAAAATTGTCCTCTGCAGTGTGCTAGTCCATATCTAGACCACAGCAATATAGAGGGGAAAGAAAATTAACTCATTTGTCATTATGACACTAGGCATTTTATTGATAAACAAGACTGTTCAGATATTCCAAGAAACATTATAATTAAAGTTAGTCATAAAAAATATTTCAAGTCTTGAAAAGTAAAACAATATACTATTGTACAGACATGGCCCAGATATTTTCAGTTATTGGAACCCAGTGCCCAAATTCTTCACAAAGCCAATCTACAACCTCACTATTTAACAGTATGGAAATCCTTAATTAGGGAAAAGAAAAATTAACAGTCGCCACTTTCAAACATATCTGAAACTTAAGCATAAGATTCTAAAAGACAGTTCTAGAGCAAGTATAGTTTTGTTTGCCAGCAAAATGATATAACAAGATTCTATAAATGTCTTTCATGTTAATTGTGAAGGATCACCATACAGCATTTTTTTTTTCTTTGGTTTTAAGTAATAATACAAAATAGAACTCCACATACAAAATTAATCTTTTATATTCCCTAAACTTACAGAAGCAGCCCTTTCAGATTTCAATCGCTTCTCGATGAAGTTAGCAAGTTTCTTTGCATAAATTTCTCCTTTGTCACTGTCATAACAAGTTACAATAACCTCTGTAAGTAAAAAATGCATAGTCATTCAACCAACTATATAATTCATACCAAAAGAAACCATTAGGAGATTTCTGACTTCTACACAAGCTGCTAGTTTCCTTTTCTAAAACTAAATAAGACTGCAACTCAACAACAGTGTAACTCTCTATGATAATTGACAGAGAGTTGGATGCATCCACATTAGAATCAGAAGCAAGCTGATGCAATTCACTTCGTTTTTATTTTCATTGCAAGATGCCTGTCACTAAATGATAAACAAACATCCACCAAACGCCACAAGTAGGGCTTCAGAAATTATCATTTCAGTAGGGTTTTGGACCTACAAGGTGCCTGATCAAAGGAAATTGGGATGGCACAGTTGGAAAATGCCAAAGTGAACATTTGTAATTAAACAACAGAACATGCAAAAACCCATCATTGCATCATTGCAGATAAAGAGATGATGCAATTTTTTAACCATGCAAATAATTCATTTCCAGAGTAGAAAGATGAGAATCACTCATATCCTTCTAAATTTAATAAAATCTTCACCAAACATGTCAAATTTGAACAATCTGTAGAAAATATACCTCAATACATTGTCACCCCCAATTCTACCTCTAACATTATCCCGACTCTCTCCATGCCTAGTAAGCAATATTGGACGGGGTGTAAGATGTGTATTCACCTGCAAAAGATGTGAAAAAGTATAGACATTAATGTTGATATATATTATGGATATTCAAGTATAGATGTATGCAAGAACCATGGACATATGATCCATGTCTGTTGAGGATTCCTCCTTTACCTCACAGTGTTACTAAAGATAATCTAATAAAAGATTGATGTCATAATATCATGTACTTTTAAGTCAATCCTTCTCCAAACTATATATATCACTAAAGCTAAGATAAAAAGCTTTCAGCGTTTCACACTCCAGTAAAGCTATTTATATTCTCAAATCAAATGCTTTACATCTAAAGTATAAAATGATAGACAACTGAATATACTTTTATTTGGCTATGTTTCCTAAAAACAAATAGAAAAGGATAAAAACTCACAATATTTCACATTACAGTGGGATCTAGAGAATATACAATATAAGCTAAAGTTCAACCTGACAACATTTTTAATTGACCAACCTACCAAGAAAAAGACGATTCGTCCTGGAAGATAGCCGCTGATATTGTTGACCTGAAGCAAACTATCAGTTCCTTGTAATAAATATCAATTCAGGTACTACAATATGGACAAATTAGATAAAAACTACAATAAAAAGTACAAAGAGATGCATGTTCATCTAACAAACTATATTTTGAAAAAGAAGGGGGGGGGGGGGGGGGGGGGGGGGGGGGGGGGGGGGGGGCACGGGTTGGGTTGGTTGTGAAAAGGAGAGGTACAGTATGGGCCATTTTCCAAGAAAGAAGAACTGAATGCTACAACTCTACAACTACCTAAGTCCACAAGAAAAGTATTTCTTTACCACCATTAACAAGTTGTTTATTAAACATACTACAATGTCCAAACACAGATTTCATGAAACAATACAGAGCTACTAATATGAAATATAATATATACTCAGTTGGGCCTTTTATATCAATTTTCGATTGAAAAACAACATTTCACAAGGACTAGAATATACACCAAACTTATTAGAACATCTATAAATTCCTTATAGCCGAAAGGTAATATACAATGTAAAACTTACTTGTAGTTGTCCACCATGTCCACTGACCATATCAATCATTTTTATATAAGAGCCTTCTTCTACTGGCTCATAAACCTAATAAAAGAAACATATGCATACATCTTAAATGTTGTAAATATTCACAAAGAAACGATTTTACCAAGACCAATTATTAGAAGTATATGTCAGAACTTTACCTTTTCATAATTAGCTAATCGATTTTTGAAGTCTTGTAGTCCAGCTTCAAAATCTGGCCTGTAGAATAACACCAATTTCGAAGCAATATATACACAAATACCATTATTAGGTAATGAATATACATTGTTTAATCCAAATAAAACAGCAAAGGTTCCAGAGAGTATCCATACTGTTCAGCATAGTCAGGGCTTTGTTGAATTTTCAGACGTATGTTTCTTAAAATAATGTCTCGATCATTGCAAATTGTTTCCAAAAATATAATCTGCAATGAGAACGAAAAAGATTTATGAGAAGGTTGAACGAAATATATCATATTGACAGTCAATACCTTACTACCAGTCAAATTTTGGTTATATTCTTAATTAAGGTCTCTCATGGGGACATACACCAACTCTTAGATTCCTTGAAAATTATTCCAAATCACTAAAAATAGCAACTAACAGAAGGATCAAAGATACACAAAACCTCTATCAGAAAATGATACTTGAAATCACAACTTCATCAGCGAAAAAGTTTGAAAAAATAAATGAAGCTTCACTTTGTTTGAATCCTGACACAGTAACTTCTATCTTTTCTACTAAAACATTGCAGTATGAACCTGGCCATTTTAAGGCTTTCCTTTTTCTCTCTGTAACGCTTTTGATGTGAACATAGCTAAGGTATTTGATGTGAACATAATGGCTAATACAAAGATTCTACTACAAAATTTAACAAGTAATGGATCCCTTGTCCTGCATAAGCTGCAGGTCTAATACTTCACTTAGCGAGCATATTATTTTCCTGTTTGGGAATTCTTAATTGTCTGCATATAACATGGTACCTTGCATTTTCCTTCTGCCATTTTCATCAGCATATTCCTTCGCTCCCTCATACTGTTAGTAGCATCAAATATTCCAACCTACAATCACATAAGAAATGGAAGAAAAATTTGATAGGAATGGGAAGGGAGGGGGAAAAAACTAACACTTAAAAAACAAATATAAAGACAACTTACCTGGCCACCTTCTT